CAAAGGGGGTGACACCAAGTTGAACATTGCATTAATCCTCCCCCCCCCCCCCCCCCACCTAGATTAGGAAGCCATCAGAGTAGATGCATCAGATCGTGTTGGAAACAGAAAAGGCTGCCACCAGAGCAGGTATCCCCAGAGCAGACAGAGTTAGCGGGTTATCTAGACCAGTCTGAAAAGTGGGGTGGCACCATAGGCTTACCCCAAATGGGTTACACGAACAGAGGTGTAGCGAGGGTGGGGGGGGGACAAAAAAGAAAAGTGGGCGCTTTAAAATGGATCTTGTCCCCGGCGCGAATCGTGTCCCCGGGCGCCAAACACCCTCGCTATGCCTCTGTACACAAAACCTAGTGACGCCACTTACTTAAGCATCTTGTCAACCTAGTCCACCCCCCACCACTTTTCCCTCTCATCTATAACGTCCAGTGGTCTTAGATATCGGTCAATAATACTAATAAGTTAAATTAAATATTCATTTTTGTTTTAAAACGATTGAAATCATCAGTGTAAATGGGTTTATTTTTATCATATTTTGTTTTTTCATGGGAAAGTAATGTTGGGTAAAAATAGAATAGTTTTATGTACTTGAACTTGGGAGACGTCCTGTCCGTCACAGCAATATCTAAAAATCCCAAAACTTTACAGACTTGAATATAGATCACTCAAAATTAAATTGTGAACCAAGTATTGACCCCCCCCCCCCAACCCCAAATATATTAAAAACCGGAAATTGATATATAGGCCTAGAAAATTATAAAGTAAGGAAATTTTGTCGTATTAAACCTAATTCATAAAACACAAAAATAAATTTTGAACCAAGTATTGGCCCCCCCCCCCCCAAGCCCAAATATATTAAAAACCGGAAATTGATATATAGGCCTAGATAATTATAAAGTAAGGAAATTTTGTCGTATTTAACCTCATTCATAAAACATATTTCAGAAGGGGAGAGGGTGTATAGACTATATTTTTGCTGGGGTGACTAGGCCTATATCTTTGAATCCAATGATATTGCATTCATAAAAATATGTTTAAAATTTATTTAAAAATATATAAATATGTGTTATTCCAGTTTCGGAATTATAGTTCAAGGGCGTTGACAAAATGTTGGACAATTTTCACAAAAGTATAGGCCTACTTATAGCCTACATAAAAACTCAGTGGTCGAATGCCATGGGAAGCTAGTGGATAAGTTTTCTTTGCAACTAAGGACCTCGAGATTTCCCCATTTTTCCGAGGATGCAGTTCAGGAGTGAGGATAAGGGGCGGGCACATATTTTCGAGGATAATGATATGTTTAATTTTAATGAAATAATTTATTGTAAAAATTTCGTGAAAATACATTTTCAGGGCGAAGAGAGGAAAAAGGGGTGGGTGGGGGTGATTTAATTGGGATAATAATATCGCAAAACCTAATCATTTTACGGTTCGTAAAAATATCATATTTAAAAAATAGAGCCCCATTTTTTAAAATTATTTTTTTTTATTTCTCGAAAATGAAGCTCAGGGATGTGCACAATGATGGGTTAAGATTTTCTTTGAAAATAAGAAAATAGTTGTTTTTTCCTTTTGTGCAAAATACAATCATGAAAAATTTCGGATAGATTTCTATGATATTAATATTAATAATATGACTTCCATTATTATCCCGGTAGCATCGAGTCATATTTTCAAGTTTAATACGACATTTATGTATTTTGAATTATTTGCGTTCTTTTTTTTTTTTTTTAACTGTTGAGTGGGGGGGGGGGGCTCAATTTAAGTAAGTCCTTCCAAGGTACGTCACTAATAACACATACATAATTTATTAATGAGTGTGGGGGTGCCCGTTTCACACTTTGCCAAATGCGCAGCTTTCCCTTAGCACGGCTCTGAAGGAATAATCTACTACTACTTTTCTCACCTCGGCAAAACCTGACCCCATCAAATATTTAAAAATAGTTTACCCATTAAAACCAGGGCCACGTCGCATGCGCATGCGTTGAGAAACAACACCCGGAATTTCCGGGCGACACGACGACAACAGAGAGAAACAAAGTTCTCATCTGTAGTCCTTTACTAAGTAAAAAACCAAACAATGGACTATTTTAGAAAAGTGCTTGGAGCTCCCCAAGATGTGCAAACAACCAGTGGGGCAGAAACGGTATGGTCTAATAGTTCATGCTTGCCCCCTCCCAACTCAATTGCAATAATTTTATAGTCTGTTTTTGAAAGGTGCACTGGCACTACCAGTACCAACCAACAACTACAACTCTTAACTTATTCATTACACTAGGACTAGGAACAAGTCAAGGGAAACTAAAACTAACTTATTTTATGAAGTTAAGTTTGTTACTTTCATCATTTCTATCATTTGTTACTTAATCATTTTTAGTAAGAAACTTTTTGTTTAAACAGGGAAAGGGCCAGGCTCCTACTCACTCATACTTAACAAGAAATATAATTAATTTTTAACCAGTAAATTGATTAAGGCCCTAAAGACCCTAGGATGTAAAAAATTAATTATCAAGATATCCTTGGCTTATGAGTTGTATAGGACTACAATGAGGGCCCAAAACTAGGTATTATAACAACTTAAGTTAAGCCTTGGGATTGTCTTATACCTGATATAATTATAATAATTTAGGATGAGAATGTAGGAAATTAAAGGGAATAATTCTTACTCTGCACAAAACTTTCCTCGTTAGGTGTCAATTTAAATATTCAGGCTTGGATACTGAACTTTTTAACAAATCGACCACAATATGTCAAAGTAAATAACCAAGTATCTCTAACTCTAACCAGAGAAATAAGCACCGGGGCACCACAAGTCACAATAATGGCAGCGCCCATGGATACATTGTTTTTGTTATATTTTAGTAATTTTTATCGATTTATAGAGGTGACGAAAATACAAAAATGGCTATTCCAAAGGACTCAAACTAGTGTAGGTATGTGATAATTTAAATGATTCTAAGGATTCATATTGGGAACAAACTATTTTAAGGCTTGGGCTTCTTTGTTGGATATTTTAATAAAAATATGTTTGTATATGCCTATGGTTTGAGCTGAATGTTAATCTACTAGATTTGGTACAATCTTGACAAGCAAGAAAATCTTTAATATGAAGTCTATTAAGAAAATAGAAATAGTTACAACATGATAAGAATAGACATAGAGAAATGTTCATAAGGAAATTTAAGCATGGGTAGAGATTGTATTACAGCAATATATATTCAAATAAAATTAGTCATCTAAGTTGGGATATGCATATATGCAAACCTGGGGATAAAAAAAACAACTGTACAACAGCATTAAAACCTTTTCAGAAAAAAATAAAAATTTTAAAAAAGTATAATTTACAAATTTTTCATAATTTTTGAATGCATGAATAAAAAATAAAAAGTCTCCTCTTTGTATAGGTTAGCATGTATGGGGTATTATTAAATTTGATAATTTATTGTCATAACAAAGCTGAAAGCTTACATTTTATCTACATTTTCTTTAACAACAAATGCCAGTATATATATATTTTTCATTCATTAAGAATTTAATGTTATTTTTATTATAATCAATCAATCATAGATGAACATTTAAGATAAAGTAAAATTCTTTTATTGATCCAAATGAATGGAAATGTTTTTTGATTGATGTGTGCATGTTCATTTTCAACACATAAAGAAATATATAACCAAGACAACATTTTACAATTATAACAATTTAAACCCTAGACATCTAAAGTATTTGTTTGGCATCGTAATCTGGCATCAATGAACTCTTATAGTGACAATAATGAGTTAATTAGTGATAGATAAAACTTAAATTTGGTAAATGGAAATTTATCAAATTTTTAATACAGATAATAGTCACCAATTTTGAGTCAGTTTAACAGAGAATGGGAATTTTTTAATCACTTAGCATAAACTAAAATGTGATCCTAGTATATTAGATTGTTTTTGTTCCTGGCAATTACCACTTTACATATTTAATATCTTTACATTTTTACACAAATTTGTATTATGTTGCTCTTTAGATTGAACGGTTATGTGAACGTGTTTCTTCATCAACTTTATTGGATGATCGCAGAGATGCTGTAAGAGCACTGAAAGCACTATCTAAAGTAAGATTTTAAAATGTTCTCAATTACGTTTTAACCTTTGGGTTACATATAACTGATACAGTACAAATCATACATTTTCCTGCCAACCTATAAGATGTACCAAGCATGTAATATTTTATAAGCACCAATGTATCTTTTATGTTAATGAGTACAAGAAAAATTGGTTGGCATAATCAGATTCAGATTAACATATCTGGCTGATAAGAGGGAAGGGTTTTAGATTTTAATTTGTGTATATTTTAATATATCCCAAATACAATGCATGGCTAAAGTTAAAATGGTTACTTTTAAAATGCTTCTTTGTTACGCATAGTAATAGATCGTCATGTGTATATCTACTCTATATATTATATATATACATTTTTAAAGCCTTTATCATCAGCAGTTATTTTTTATTTTATTTGCACTAAAAATGTTTTACTTTACTAACACTAAGTATTTTTTTTCCATAAAGAAATTTAGATTGGAAGTTGGAACCCAGGCGATGGATATTCTGCTGAATGTCCTAGAGCAAGATAGGTGTGGATTTAATTTGCATTATTGTTCCTTTTAAAAAAAGATTACTTACAATTTTCAGATTTAACAGATAAAGAAATAATTAGTCTTTGTTTGAAAACATGAAAATTATGTAATTTGTAGCCATACATTTGCTAACAGTTTTTAAGAGTATATTTAACTTTGATTCTTTTAATTTTATTGCAGGGGTGATAGTGAAATAATTGGATATACATTAGATACTCTCTATCATGTCATGTCTAATGAACCAACAGATGAAGGTACATATCAATACTGGAGTTATTTAGTGCTAGTCTTACCCATTTAACTGAATGATAAATGATGTATTATCTTAATTTCCTGCTTTAAGAAATTTACAGAGAATTTAAAAGTGTCTATTGTGAAAACTTTTACTATGTTATGTGAGTTACTTTCTGTTAATTTTGTCAGATGACATAGGCAATATGGCAGGGACTGACTTAGGTGGTCAGTTCACAGAGATATTCATCAAGCATGCTGAAAATGTCCATTTGCTCCTGACGTTTTTGGAGGTGAACTCAATTCTTACTTTAATGATAACAATTTATATAAAGTGTAGCTGAAGAAATTTGTTACAAAATTTTATGACTTCATTAAAAAAAATTGAAAGAACTGATTATTGTGCATTAATTTAAATTATTTGGTATATGTTATCATGGGCTACTACTCATCCTTTACTGTCTTTGTATCAAAACTTATTTACCTTTTATTCATCAAGAAATATAAAACATGTATTTTTAATCTTATATTTTTTAAAGGAGGTAGATTGGTTTAAAATCTTCCCCCAATATTAAACTCTTCTTCTTCTATTTGCCTTTTCAACTCACAGTGGAGCCATTAACAATTTCTTTCCAATCCTTCCGGTCTCTAGCTATCCTCTTTAACTCATTCAAACTCAATCTTCAGGAGTATGATTTTCATGTGAGATGGCCCACGGTCAAGCTGCTTACAGTTCTCCTTACTAACAGACAGAAGGAACTTCAAGAGATTATTCTTGTTGTTCCCATGGGTGTTTCAAGACTTATGGATTTGTTGTCTGACAGCAGAGAAATCATTCGAAATGATGTGAGTTTAAGCTTGTTGTTTCAGTAACTTCAGTTTAAGATTAAGAAATTTAAAATCTCTAAATATTTTACATTTAATAAAGAAAATCTGTTTTATTCAGTTGATCTGTGCACATGACATACAAAACTAAGTCATTACCAGCTGAATAAAAAAAAATTAAAAAACCTCTTACTTTATTTATTAGGCATTGCTTTTGCTGAACCAACTTACAAAAGGGCATGCCAACATACAAAAGATAGTGGCATTTGATAATGCATTTGAGAGGATTATTGATATTGTTAGAGATGAAGGGGCTACAGATGGAGGTAAGAGAACTTAAGCTTTAAAATACTTAAATAAAGTTGTACAGTCAATTGTTGTTGATTTAAAATTATTTTCATAACAATATGTCATTATGCTTATTTTTCTTAAATTGTAATAATGTTATCTTAAACAAAAGTTTAGTCATAAAATGACATAATGCAATAAGATGTGAATATTTGTTCTCAGGCATTGTTGTAGAGGATTGTTTATTACTTCTTCAAAATCTGCTGAGGAATAATGCATCAAATCAGAATTTTTTCAAAGAAGGCAGCTATATCCAGAAATTGAAGCCATTCTTTCATCTTGATGATGATCCTCATTCTAAACAGGCAGGATGGTCAGCCCAGAAGGTCACAAATATGCATCTTTTGTTACAGGTAAAAGTTCTATCTTTTTCTCTCCCACAACACATGTGAATGAAATTTAAACAAGAAAATTTAGCAAAAAATTTGCTTAAAATTTTTTAAAAAAGTTCCATAAGAGATGATTGATGGAATGTATTGTTAGATATATATATTTATTTTCAAGCTTGTGCATGTTTGTATTTCACAGCTTGTTCGTACACTTGTGTCTCCAAATAACCCACAAAACCAGACTGTGGCTTGCCAGAAAGTTATGAACCAGTGTGGTATGTAAGATTAATTAAACTTCAGTATCAAAACAGTTCATGTATCAGTAAAATTTCTCTTTAAAATAATCAAATAATTTTTTTTGTGCTTTTATAAAAATACAATTTTTATTGTCCAATTTTCATTGTCCATATTATTATTAATTTGTTTGTCTGCATGCCATATTATGGAGCTGTATTAATTTAATTTCCTTTTCAATTGCATAAAATCATGTTAAATATTTTCTGTAACCATTGAGTCCACACCTTTTTCTCTCTCTTTGACTATTAATATTAACCTCCCTTCATCAAGGTTTATTACAGGACTTGTGTTCAATATTAATGGCAAGTGGTGTTCCTGCAGATGTCTTAACAGAGGTGAGGAAATTAAGAAGAAATGTTTTTATATAATCATACATATTCTTTAATTTTTTTTCAAAAGTACAGGACATCTTATAAATGAGAAAATAAATTGACCTTCCTGTCATGAAGTTGGGGAGGACTTAAACAGTTCATTTAAAAACTATTTACATAACATTATTTTTGTTGCTATATGCAAGTTTCATGCTAGATTAGTAACCTATGCAAAAATTACTATTAAACTGCACCGTTTAGTGAGGAGCTGTCACTTTACAAATAGTAATTGAAAGACTTGTAAATTGAGAATAAGGGAAATGGACTTTATTCCCATAGTTTGCAGTTGTTAAATGTTAACTCAATTTGTTTATAATAAGTATTTAGTCTTAATGTAACTCAAGTTGTTGTTCCTATGTACTCTTGAAAATACCTGATGAAGAGGATGTGTTTTACATTTAGACCATCAACACTGTGTCAGAAGTCATCAGAGGGAGCCAGATAAATCAAGAATACTTTGCATCTGTATTAGCACCTTCCACACCACCCAGGTATTGAACATTGCTAGCTTCAGATTAATTTTGGAGTTGTAGTTTCATGATTATTGTCAGTGTACATTTTTTAGTCAAATTTGTAACACATGTGGGTTTCATGATATTTGAGTCCATGAGTATTTGATGGCTTAAAAAAATGAATATGGACTGTAACTTTTAACATCCAAATTAAAATTTTAAAGGATATGCAAATCATTTGTTAAAATTGTATAATTTTAAATCTATAAAGGATTTTTAAAGATAGTTTCCAAATATTTTATTAAAAAATTTACATTCCTATCAACACAGACCAGCCATTGTCGTTTTGCTGATGTCTATGGTAAATGAAAAGCAACCGTTTGTGTTGAGATGTGCAGTTCTCTATTGCTTTCAGTCTTTTCTTTATAAGAATGAAGTTGGCCAGTCCCAGATCATACAAACTCTTCTACCCACTGCTGCTGATGGTAAATATGAGACACATTAAGATTAAAATATGTAAAAAATATATTTAAAAATATGTATCCTGGATATTAATCAATGTAATGTCCATGCAATTTTAAAAAATTCTTGAACCATTCGCATATATATATATATATAAATTATCATTTTACATGATGGTCAAATAATCATTTTAGCGTCATATATACATGTTGTTTTTTTTGCCCTTGTCTGACAGTAGAGTACAAAGAATAGTCATATATTAAATTTTAGTTGAGCCATCTCCTTCTCTGGGGCTGACAGAAAAACATTGGTATTAATTATATTTCATGGAATCATTACAAGTTCTTCATGTTTTTTCTGTGAATGTCATAGCTTTCAAAACATTTTTTTTCTCAAATGACAGCCCACTCAATCACAGCAGGCCAACTTTTATGTGGAGGTCTCTTCAGCTCTGATCCCCTGTCCAACTGGTTTGCTGCAGTAGCCTTGCTCCATGCCATAGTTGAAAATTCTACCCAGAAGGAACAGCTTCTACGAGTTCAGCTTGCTACTAGTCTAGGCAGTCCTCCAGTCTCACTCCTCCAGCAATGTTGTAATATGTTGTCACAGGTAGTAGATATTTGGAACCTGCGTACAAATCTTAAGTCTTAATTTTTTACATTTTAGCCAAGAAGTCTTGACGTGGATCATTGTTATTTTGAATTGTCCAAAAGCTAAATAATAATTTAATGTGCCAAATACACTGCAGTCTTTCAAAAATAAGTTGAAAACACATCTTTTTCGCACTCACCTGCTGGGCTAATTTAGTCTACCTCCTTGTTTCCAGCTTGCTCATATTCCTCGATGTAGATTTTGCATTGTTGCCTTTGTATTTTATTTGTGGAAAAATATAAATTGTCATATATGGTTGACTTTGTACCGCGCTTCGAGCCTTACTTATGGATGAAGCATGCTTTTGAAAGGAACTTTATTATTATTATTAAATATTCTGATCCATGTTCCATTAATTCTTTGGTGTTATTTTATCACAGGGTGGAAAGCTACAAACAAGGATAGGTCTCTTAATGATTCTGTGTGGTTGGCTAGCTGACTGCCCCATAGCTGTTTCACATTTTCTTAGCAATACTGCCAATGTACCTTATGTATCCTTTTTAATCAAACAATCAGGAATACAGTCATACCCCTGCATTATGTATTCTCTAATTTTACTCAAGTGTAATTTAAATTCCATTTCAAACAATACCAGACGTGTTTACTCTTACGATTTTGGCGTACAATGTACGATTTTGAGGTGTATACATTATGTATACTGTATGTTTATTTTTTACTATTAAGATAATGTATTGAACAATTTTGTGATGATATTGTACGATTTTAAGAGTTTGAGGGTAAACAGGTCTGCAATACTTTTAAAAAAATTTTAAGAGCTTTATTTTCTAAAAATGTGTAAAAGGTATTTTGTTCTAAAATTAAAAATTTTTTGTTGAGATCAATAACAAAATTTTATAATGCATCAAGAAAGGCAGACTGTGTAGATAATTGCAAGTCATTGAATTGAAAGCTAAAGTAGATAAACCAAAAGATTTTTTCTTGACCAGACTTTTCAGCTGATTTCTCAAGTTTCTGCCAGTGAAGGGGATGAACATGAGGCCATTGTTCAAGGGTTGTGTGCATTTTTGCTAGGCATCTGTATGTTGTACAATGATGACACAAGTGAGGCTTTTACTAAGTAAGTTTAAGTTGGATGTTGTACAATGATGATACAAGTGAGGCTTTTACTAAGTAAGTTTAAGTTGTATGTTGTACAATGATGACACAAGTGAGGCTTTTACTAAGTAAGTTTAAGTTGCATGTTGTACAATGATGATACAAGTGAGGCTTTTACTAAGTAAGTTTAAGTGACCTATTTTAAATTAAATTTTCTAATCAATATACAACTAATTAAACAAATTTACAATAAAACATTTTAATTGGCAGGCCCCTTGGGTCAAGATTAATTAGTTATCTTTGTAAATTGAAGGATTAGGTTAGTGAAATAGTAAAAAAAAAAAAAAAAAAGTATGTTGAAGCTTTAATCAAAAGACATGACAATAAGAAGTGAACGCTTTGGGTTAGAGCCTTCTTCAGGGAACTGGACAAATAGGTTAGACATGTTTTTAGTAGCTTTTGAGTTTGAAAAAATGAAGAATACTTTAATAGTAACATTGCAGTTAGCAATATCTTTTATAAATTTTTTGCACCAGCTCTGTCTTAATTTTATTTAATGTATACCACACAAATAATGGATAAATTACCAGAAATCCCTGTTCACGTTTGTTTCCATATCTATTTTCAGTTTGAGCATGACAACTTGAAATGATACCTTTTCTGTCTGTGCTCTTGATGACCTATGATTATTTGTGCAACTTCATATTCTTAACACTTACACAATGAGCAAGGGGTTTTAAATGACATACTAATAGGGCTTGATAAATAAACCTAAGATGCCTTTAAAATATATTTTTTTTAATAGCTAACAGATTTCTGGCAATGCTATTTAAATACTCATTAAGCCTAAATTTAAAACAAACCTTTCTGTAGTGGTTTTATATTGTCAAGAACTGTTCATTAATTTCAGGACTGCACTAAAACAGATCATTCAGAACCGCATAGGGCTGGAATCATTTACAGACAAGCTTACCCAAGTTGCACAAAATGAAAACTACACAAGGGCAGCTAAGAAACCTCACCTGTATCACAAACATCCAAGTGAGATTGTCTTTGACTATGAGTTTACCAGGCTGTTCAAAAGTTTAGAAAGTAAGTGCATATATTTTAATTTCATGAAAATTCAGGTGGAGAAGTATGCAATTTCTTACCTCCTTGAAATAGTCTTCTGAGACCTAAACTAATTTCCCAGCCATTCTTATGTGTACTTTGTTAAGCTGAGTAATGTCACATACTTAACCTTTATCTTCTGTTAGTATGCATTTTTTACACAATGCTTTCCTCAAAACCTTCATTTCTACTGAAACCCAATCAAGGGAATCCAATCAGGTGATGAACCCACTGGTCGACCATTGACTTCTCTGTTAATGTTCATTAGGAGGAATGAATAAAATAAAAATCATTAGTTAAAGAATTGTTCCTTTTACATAAAAGGGCCTCATTGACAAGCACAAAATTTAAAAGATGTGTTAAATATATCAGCCATTTGTGCTTTGAACTAAATGAATCTGTGACTTAATAAATACATTTTTAACCTGTAATTCCAATCTACCAACAGATGAGGTACTGAAAGCAGTATCTGGAACCGGCAGCAGTATAAATGGGAGAAAAGGAGGTGGGCCAAGTACAGAGCAGTATAAACATCTATTGAAGGACCAGGAGGACCAATTAATATTGTTGAGACAGAGAGTAGAGGAGCTGCAGAATCATACAATTGATGCTGATAGGAGCATAGTGGAGCTGCGGAGCCAAGTGCAACAGTTAAAAGATCAGAATGCTTTACTAAAAGCACAAAAAGGTAGCAAACAGAGAAATCATTATTGAATTTATTGTGATTATAATAACTTGGCTGTTGTTACAAATTAATGACATTTTTAAAAACAGATAGGACACTGATCATGAGGTATATAAAATTAAAGAAAAATTTCATCCATTGTAACTTTTAAAAACATTCACTCTTAAGAACGATGATCCTGTGAAGCCCTTGGTGCTTTTGATATGATAGATTTTTGAAAAATATTTACTAAGAGTTTAAGGAATGTGATTTAGTGTGAACTTAATGAACCACAAGTGTGAAGTGTTTTAAATTGTTCAGTTTTTCAAAAATAATTTTTCAACAATAGGAAGCCACAGTAGTCCGCCTTTGCCACAACCAGCAGTGTCCAATTTCTCAGCAGAAGAAGTGGAAAGCTTACGACGGGAAGTTGAAATTCTAAAACTGCAATTACAGGAAACAAATAATCAGCTGTTGAACTCAGTGAGTTTTCATTAACTCCAGTGTTTTGTGTATCATGGTTTTAAAATCAATTAACATTTTTATGGTAGTTATGCAAGAGGAAATATAATCCATTTTGTAAAAGTAAATGTTTTCAAACATAATGTACTAAATGGTTTTGCCTTAACTAAAATGAAACTGAATTTTACTGAAAAATAATATTTTATAACAATGTGACAATATTCCCAATAATAATTACTCTCTAATGTCCCTGTTTTTGTTTTACAACTCCAGAACCTTGACGGAGATGAGAACAAAGAAAATAACCCTGATAGTGCAGCAGTCCTGCAAGCATCCCTGGCAAGACAACAAGGAGAATTAAAAAACAAAGATGAAGAGATTATAAATTTGCAACTTGAACTAGAGAAAGTCAATATACTTTTAAAACAAGTAAATAACTTCCTTTAAATATTAGAGTAATTCCTTATATTAGAAGATGATGACTATTCATAACCAATACAGTTGTAATCTTTGTTTGACAAGCCAAGTAAATTTCTTAATTATGTCAAATAAGAACAAGCTCGTATCTGTTGTTTATTTTTATAGAAAAGCTCAGAGCCCACAGACAGTGTCGGACCTGACACAACTTCAGAGGCTGAGACTAGGCTGCAGGCAACTGAAGAAAAGTTGCATTCTGTTACAGAAGAAAAACAGAGCCTGCAAGAGAGACTAAAGAAGTCCAATGAAGAAAATTTAAAGCTAGCAAACACGATCAGGGTACTTTTTTTCTGTCTCTGTCATTGTGAAGTTTTAAATTTAAGATTTTAGTATTATCTTACAAAATTTTACAATTTTAATGTCCTGTTTACTGCCCTAGGTTATGGAAGATGAAAAGTTGGCAGCAGAAGAGGAAAAGAAGACTCTAAAAGAAGATTTGGAAACGCTCAGGAAAGAGCAAGATGATCTGCTGGTACTGTTGGCAGACCAGGATACCAAGATTGATAAATACAAAACTAAGCTTAAGGAACTTGGACAGGAGGTCTGTTTAAAAATTATTGAACTTAGAGTACACTAAAATAGTGAAAATTATCTAGTTTGAGCTTATTTGTTTTCTTATATATATTCAAAGGGAACTAAAACATATGTTAATTTAGATTTTTACCTGCCCTGACAATGGAACCTACGTAGTTAATGACAGATGTCGGTGTTGCAGTCATCCCATCTTGCTAAACGTTTTACTTTATTTAGGTACAGCATGACAAATGATGATACATATTCTTTCTTATTTCTCTTATAAGGTGGAGGATGATGATGATGATGATGATGATCTCGGGGATGACAATGAGGATGATTTAGATGCCGACTGATCACATTGTATCCAAGTTAAATATAGGTGATATATACAATTGAGTTTTTATGTTGAATGGTGATAAGCTGTTGAAATGAGTTGTCTGGAGTTGTAACTTAATTTGCTAAATTTTTTGAAAGTAATGATAATAAATAAAAAAAATAATAAAAACAATATTTGATTGCCAGGATAATGTAGACATGATCATTATTTTAAATACATTTTGCAGATCTCATAGTTGAGTTATAAGATAAATACATGTAACAGAGCTTTAAATACCACTATTTTTCTAGTTTGGTATGTATTGCATTTAGTAAATCTAAACCAGATCACAAAGCATGCCATTTATAGGAATTAATTAAACACTATTAGTTAAGCCAATTGCTTGATTTTTAAAGAATTGGTTTGTTTTTTTTTCTTTTAGTTTTAGCAACTGATTGCAGGCAAAAGTTAATAAAATACTCATTCATTACTTTGCCCGTTCTTTCCTTTTGTGCCAGTACTTTTTAATGGCAAATCTGGGACAATTTTTTTTTGGTCAGAAACCCTTATGGGCTGTTGTTTTTCAATACTATTTTCTGTCAGATGCTGTCATTTCACATTGGAAACAATTTTTATCATTGCTTTATTTGATGGCTTATAGTGTAATAAGAATGATTTTCACAAATCAAATTCAGTGATGTTAACATTATAATCATATGCATCTTTAACTCATGGCTGTTCATATTATCGTGTTTTTTTACTTGTTGATTTAGTTTATTGCTAGGGGCTTACCTAGGCTGTATGAAATTGTATTCTGCAAGGTTTTGGTTTCTTTTTGAAACTTTTCTGTTGTATGATGTGAAAATTGTAATTTGTGATTTTGTGTTTGAACATTTATTTGAAAAGTTCTTAGTCTTAATTAATTTTCCTTTCATCTGAACTTTGATTTTTCCTGGAAAGATGCTAACAAAACAGTGTATTTTTTTTTTTTTTACCTGTGTTGCCTTTATCTTGTCAATTAAAACATGTTTCAAATGTTTTGATCATAAATCTATTGCAAAAACAGTTATTGTTCATATATTTTAACTACATAACAGTGAAGACATAGTCAGATAACCCTCAATTAGTATCAATCATGTTCACCAAGTACCATTTCACTTTTAAGACTAAATAACTGGCAAATTTAAATGAACTAACGTTTCATCATTAGCTTATTATTTTTTTATAATAAATTTAATTGTTAAAATCGGAGTAGAGAAACTTATTAACACATCCTGGAGTGAAAGAAACTAAATGTTCAGATCACCTGTAAATGTAAATATAATTAAATTATCAAGTATTTCATCTCATGAGTTTGTTTTTTCAATGAATGCTTTACACAGGATTAAAGCATTTAGAAATGTGTAACTTTATGTAAATAAATTATTGAGCTTGTATCTGTGATGATTTTATTATTTCTTCCTATCCTGTATTTCTAAAAACATTACAGTTGAAGCAATTCGAGTGCTCATTGAATAATTTAAAATTGTTATATAAACAACAATATGTTCTTACTTTGGACGACTTGCGCAACTTAAGACTGAGATGTAACTGTTCATAGTGGACTACAATTTATTTTCTCAAATCCAGTAAGACATGTGCAGAGTTCACTATGTTCACATTTTAATTACTGTCACATTGCGAACTTCAGAAACAAATTTTACAATGCCCATGAAAGACAGCATTCAAATACAATCTACCCTTGACCATCCTTGGCTGGTTTTTTGTTTTTGTATAAGGTAGGACTTGTCCTAATTAAGTGAATCAGATTGATCATAAATGGCCAAAAAGTGAACAAAAATCACTGATCCTGACCTTAGTCATCCTGGCTGTTTACTCCTGAAATTCCAGAATGTTCTTAGTTCACATTCTTAGTGGCACTGGTAGTTATATTCACCATTGCAATTATTATAGAATGGGCGGTGGCAATGTAGATACTGCTCCCACCACCCCTCAAAGACAAACATAGTCATTCAACACACATTCTGAGGCAAGGGTGCTGTTCCAACTAAACAGCTTTCTGTTGCTCTCCATTGTAAAGGGATTAGAGACCACCTGTAAATATTTTATTTTTTTATTTGTAGTCACTAAGCCTTAGTGTCGGCAGCCAAGGATTGTGTTTTCATTTCTGCAATTGCAGTTTCCAATCTCACAACTAAATTTTTAAATTAGGTCTCATAATAGCTTAGAGTCAACCACTTCACTACCATTACATCTGCCTTGAAAAATAAATAATTTAAAGAAAAGTATTAAAAAAAACTGAAAACTAACATATTGTACTTAACTGAATGTTGATAATAAACAACAAGTAGCAAGATGAATATAAAATATAATTTTATTTAAGTAACCATAAGCAAAGGAAACTTCATGGTATGTATTCCTCATATCACTTAATAGTATCACAGACTTTTTTTAAACTGACTTTTCAGTGCCCAGAAATACAGTATAATACTATTATATACACTAAAAGACAACATGCAATATCTGAAATTTTACATGAAATTTGGGTAAAATTTGCTAAATGGCATTTATATAAACAAATACTTTAGTATGATCGAACACACAAACAAAAATACAAAAAAATGTGCAGTACACTTGTTATTTTTGAGATCCTGTACAGAAAATCTTCAATTTCTCAATGGAAGAATAAATAAGCACAAAGAAAAGCATCTTTGAAAATTATTTTTAAAAAATTGGTTTATGCTGAGTTGTGAGTTTAAGTCTTAAACTGTTATAAAACTTCTAAAAAAAATAATAATTTAAATGGATACGATGCCTCGGTTCATAATCAAACTATCTCTAAATGTATTTTGTTTTTGTCACTATGAAAATATATGTGTCAACTTAATTTAAAACCATCAGAAAAACTCTAATTATATGTACACATTTTTTTCATAAACATTTGAGTGATAGAAATATTTATGTATACTCTGTGAAAATAACTTGCTAAAAATTAATCTGTATGCCTCAAATAATCAGTCACCTAAGCATAACATAAATTTTGCCACCAAAATTTTTCTGGTTAGATTTTGGAGAACATCATTTTAGATGTTCTATTAAATTTTAGTAATTATGATATTAAAATCACAATAAAAGTTTTAAATTCTATTTCAAATCTAACCAGGTTTATCCAGTACTCAAAGCACATTTAAATAGGAAATTTCCAACAGAAAAAAATACAAGCCAATTACATGATATTGATAAAATTACAGAAAACTGTAATGATAACAAAATCTTTTTTTTTTATAAACAACTGAACTCTGGTCACTAATTCATCACTAATTTTCCGTACTTTTTAGCAGGGCTGAGTAGCAGTAGAAAATGAAATACAGAAAATACCACCAAAAAAAAAAAACCAACCAAAAAAAAAATAAAAAAAAAACTATAATGATAACAAAATCTTTTTTTTTTATAAACAACTGAACTCTGGTCAATAATTAATCACTAATTTTCCGTACTTTTTAGCAGGGCTGAGTAGCAGTAGAAAATGAAATACAGAAAATACCACCAAAAAAAAAAAACCAACCAAAAAAAAAGTGAAAATATTAAATGACATAGATAATAAAAATGCACTTCATGTGGTTATGTTTTATTCATAATTTTTCTTCAACATTTTGTTCAGCTTTTTAAAATTCCTTGTTAACAATTAACAAAAATGTATGTCCCTAAAATATTTGGTGTATAAGAAGTTAGTTACTTTTTAAAAAAAAATATTATTTTAGAGATGCTTCTGTCACTGGAAACTTAGACCTGGAGAGGTTCAATTGATCAGCTATACTCAAGTGGACTTGGTTCTTCAAAGTACTGTGATGGATCGGTAGTTGCTGCTGTTAATAGTCCTGCAGCAATCGGAAACAGGATGGATTAATTTTTAGGTTAAAAATTAAAACATGTTTATAGGCAATTGTGATACAGTGGAGCCTTGGATAACTAACTTAATCCGTTCCAAGACTCCGTTCTTAAACTGAAATGTTCACTAAATGAAATAATTTTCCTTATCGCAATAAATCTAAATTCAAATAATCTGTTCCAGCCTTAGTAATATGGTATTATTTACATTTTTAAGCATTATACCATAATGAAGAATATATAATTGAACTAGCAGCCTCTCCATGTCTTACAACACTATGAATTTCATTTCTTCAGGGAAATTTACCCAACACACCTCTAGTCTTCAGGTTCCGAACTTGCCCTCATTTTCGGCAAACGAATCACTGTGCAACTGCCTGGCACTTTTTCACAAATGATTGTCTCTCTAACAATCTCCACCCAGCTGCTTTTCAAACTAACAACAGTTTTTCCAATTTCTCTAGTACTTTAGACCTTTGCCTTGTAAACATAGTCACTCCTTTAGCCACATCAGCCACTTTGATTGCTCTTTTGTTCTTTAGAATTGTACAGATTGTGGATTTCACAGGATTGTACAGCTTGGCAATGTCAGAAAAACAAAAGCCTTCATCATGTCATAATATAATCTCTTTCTTTACTTGAACCCTAACACAATTCCTATTAATAACAATGTACTCTTTAGTTGCCATGAGGGCTAAAATAACACAAAAAGTGCAAAATTAACAAAAAGCAGTGTTTGTGAACACAGCACGCAGACAAAATTTGTTTACTGCAAATGGGGAAAAAAACCTCCGAACTGGAGGAATTGTGTGTACAGTAGTGTGCGCATGTTTATAACCCGAAGTATCATTCTTCTTCTTCTATATATTATGGGCCCATGATCAATTTATTGATCATTTTGGCTCCTATGCACGTAGAGGGGATTTGCAATGTTTCTGTGCCTGGTGTTGACGAGGATATTTCACTGATTGCAAGTGCCACTTTGTGAGGGAATCATGCACTGGGGGTTTGAAGGCTTGAGGCAATAGACACAAATGTGTCTAGTGTTGTCGCCTCAACTGTTCCTTTTCAAAGATTCTTCCAGTCCTTGATTGTCTTGGGCAGGAATGAGCAGTTCCTATACTGGCTTCTTGCTAGTATGAGCCGGGAATAGCCTGTCATGGCATCGTCACTGTCTATGGGGGAGAGGGACCAGTTTCTGTTTAATACTGGAACAGTGGACCAGCCCATTATTTATCTTGTACACCATGGAGAGCCCGGATTGTCGTTTTCGTTCATCCAATGGTGACCAGCCTAGTGTTTCCAGCATGCTGCCAACACTAGAGGTATTCCTGTAGCAGTTCAGGACAAAGCGTGCTGCCCGTCGCTGGACCGCCTCCAACCTGTCAATGCTCTTCTGGATAAATGGGTCCCAGACTGAAGATGCACAATCTAAAACCGGACGGACAAAGGCTTTATATGCTCTTTCTTTCACACAGGAGTTGCCAATCTTTAGATTACACCTTAAGAACCCCATTCATTAACAGAGACAAAAAAATTTCTTTACCTTATATTTTTTTCATTAACTGGGGTGTTCATTATCAAAGGTTCAACTGTAATCAAGGGCTACTTTACATAAAATGTGTAAAAAATATCTTTTCACACTCCTGCCACACCTTCCCAAAAACATCAGTTTATAAAGGGCAAAAGCTGGTAGACATACAAGTAGTAGTTGACTATTATTAGTGAGGTCAACAGTTCCTTAGCAAATGCCAAAATTTAAAGAAAGTAAACAATGGTGGAGTCAGAATGGGTATGGACAGATGAGTATTTTTTAATATGCTTACACACCTTAGATATGCCATTGTATAAATAACTTAGAATGTAAAACCACCACAAAAAAAAAAAATATTCACGCTAAACTTAAAATGTATTTAATTTTATGTAAAGCAAAAAATTTGATATCTCTGGGATAATAATAAAAAAAATCCATTGCTTCTCACCTCGTAATATTCTGATCAATGATGGACTTGCATGGTGTAGATTTAGGACCAGCTGGAGGCACAAAGGTTTTTCCAAATTTGTTGACCACATTGACTGGTCGCTTGTACTTGATGCCATATGGATCAGATGAATGTGATGGATAAGGGTCAAATGTACCAGCTTTCATTCCAGCAAGCTGTTTTTTTTTTAAAAAATAGCAATTTATTCACAAACCAAATCATAAAAAAATATATTTTAAAATTAGATTCGCCATACGTAAAATGATTATATTATAAAATAACATTGTTGACTTCTAATTTCTTGTATGACTGATTATTGCATTTAGAAATGCCTCTTTTGTGAATGAATATAGATAACTAACAATTTATGTCTATCAATCTTTGAATAAAAATTTGAGGAATAATAACTAAAGGCCTACAATATTCACACAAAGTATAGAATGCACCCTTCATAAATGAAAGTTATTCCTTGGCTTTTTTTTTTCACCACTGATTCAATTTTCAATTTTTTTTTGCAGTTATTTACGTAATTGGTACCTAATCAAGAATCAACCTAATTTTTATAAAAAAAGGACTTTCAGTTTAAGCTTTAAAGCATTCTTCGAATCAGAAATATTTTAATGTAATTCTCAAACTGATATATATATGTAGGCTATATATTTATAAACATGGTTCATAAATATGATGTTTACAGAAAGTTGGCATTAAACAGATTATAAGAATAAGACTCATAGGGGAACTATGTTCACATGGGTAATCTGATTGCTGGCTCTACATTCATAACAGTTAAGTAAAGCAATTTTGGTTGTTTGATAAAAAAGAAAATTTCATTTAAAACATTGTTACCTCTCTATGAATATTTGATTTTTAAGATATATTTGGAGGAAGCAAGTGAAAGCTTTTTCCTGTACTTAATTTTGTCCTGGGTCAAACTTTTCATTACCTTGTGTAAAGGCACAAAGGTTTGTAAAATTACCTTTAAATAAAATGTAAATAATATGTTTCACTGTGGAAAAAAAATGGTATAAAGTAACTTGCATGCTTTCCAGGATTGCTTGGACGGAATGGGGTAGTAATAGGTTTTGCTGGAAGATCACCAGCCCATTTTCGTTGACCAGGATCTGGCACATCAGATCTATAGGGATTTCCGTTGAAATAATCAGCAGGATGCATATTGAGTCTGAAAGCACCCGCTTTGAGGGCAGCCTTGTGTTTTTGAAGTTCTTGCTGTAATGATTGACATAAATGAAAGCAGTCATTTCAATGTAAAATTACTTAAATGCTAAACTAAAACAATAGGAGTTAAATTTCCAATAAACAGATGCATATTATTTATGTTTTATCCTGTATTTAAAATTACTTATTGCTCAGTATTTGTAGGACTCAAATAATCATAATTATTAAGAAGTTGCAATTGTTAAGATCATCTATAGTTCAATCATAAATTTAAATAAATAACTTTAAATTTCTGGCTCATTCTGTTATGCATTAAGCATCCACTCCCACATTATTTTCAGTTTATTTTGCTAAGTCATAATGGACATAGTTAAAATGCAAAACAAAAAAAAGAAAAGTTTTAAACTTTGTAAGCTCTAAATTGCAAGGATGATCCCTCTTTGTATGGATACTTTTGTTTCATTTCTAAATTATGTTTTTTCAAGAGCATCAGTGTGCTGAAAGCAAGCTCTGTTAGTAGGAACTGACCTTATACATCTGAACTCCTTTGTTAAACTCATCTTCACTATGAGGTGGGTATGGATTCAAACAAACATTTGCAAAGCTTTTCACAGAAGCAAGAAAAAGTGTGAGTTAGTATGGAGCACACAACAAAAATTAAAATTCTAATAATTGTCTCTTTTCAAAACTCCAAATTACTCTTGTGTGGCTATTTCCTGGTGGCTAGAAACACATGTGAAAATAGAATGGTGCAGCAAAACAACGTCTAAAAAAAACAAACTCATTGAATAAAAGGAAGGAGGGTCCTCAATTAAATGTGTATTTATTTCTGAACAATAACAATTTATGGGAACGGACATCAGCAACCAAATAAGAAGATCAAACAAATAATTAAATAATTCTTATTTTTGACTTCATATCATCTTTGTAATAATATTATTGACATGAGACCATATATATAATATATAGGCTATATGCATGTGTATGTGTGTATATGTATATATATATATAAATATGGCATTCTTCCATTTCGCGAGATGATTAAGTAGCTGTTGACACTTCATCAAATGGCTTATGAGGCCAATCCTGGAAGAGCAGTCTAGGCTGCACTTCTCACAGGAGAACTTCGACTCCTGGTTAATTTGGTCTTCTGAAATACTTTTTTTGTTGCAAGGGCTTTGTTTCACACCTCTTCTGCCTGTTTGTCTTCTTCATACACTGCTGTTCACCCAGTGGCGTAGCGAGGGTGTTTGGTGCCCAGGGACAAGTTTTGTGCCCGGGGACAAGATCCATTTTTAGCGCCCCTTTTTCTTTTTTTTCAACTCTCAAACCCATTATTTTCATCAATAAAATGTTATCAAAGCACATTTTGGCGCCCCTAAATAGCTTGCGCCCGGGGACATCTGTCCCCCCGTCCCCCCCTGCCCCCACCACGCTACGCCTCTGTGTTCACCAGCTGAAACGGTGCTCAGAGATGATCTCCCATTTATTGATTTCTATGTTGGCTTCCATCACTTCCTTTTGCAAACATCCTTAAATCCCAGCACCAACCCCAGTAAGTCTAGCCCCTATGCCAGTGCTCCACAGAGCGTATCCTTTGGAATATGGCCTTCATCTAGTCTCTTTACATGGCCTAAGCAGCGTAGACACCTCTTGAAGTTCTTGCTGTAACAGGAGAGCATGCTACACATTTTGGCATGTTCCAAAACCTCTGTGTTAGGCACTTTGTCCTGCCATTGAATTCTGTGAGCTTTTTTTTTGTGATTTAATTTTCAATTTTTTTTACATTTATTTACGTAATTGGTACGGTATATCAAGCATACATTTAATTTTGATAAAAAGGACTTTCAGTTTAAGCTTAGGCCTGGGATTATTCTTCAAGGGCCTGGTTCCCAACAGCAAATTGCCCCTCTCCACGCTGCTGGATAGCCTAAGGGAACAACATTGGGATGATACAGCTTGGTACCAGTGGCATCGCAGGAGTTGTCAGAATGTTTCATTGTACCAATGTTTCCGCCTTTCAGGACTCCATCTCCGGGTTTGATTTCAGAGTTTCCGTCTCTTAGATGAATTAACGAGTCCCATCTACCCGGGCTGCTGGTAATGTTATTGCTTAACCGGGCTTTGGCTGGAATTGAACTCCAGACCACCAACTTGAGATTTGCTCAGTTTAGACCACTCAGCTACCCAGCACCCAGCAAACTGTGATGCAGCCATTTTTGGTGGAGGCTATTGAGTTTCCGCTCATGATTGCCATATGCGAGATACACTTCACTGCCATATAGGAGCATACTGAATACACATGCCTGATGCTTAGTTTTGTACTTTCAGTTAGTTTAGGATTATTTCACACCTGCTCATTCAAGTTAGCCTTAGTTGCTACTGCTTTTGTAAACCTGATGTTCCCCTCTTCATCAACAGAGAATGGGATACAAATATTGGACCCCGGGTTTGTGAAATTCTCAATTACTGACAGATTTTGGCCCTCAATAGTTATGTTTGGAGTAGACTGTGCTTCTTGTATCATGAAATTTGTTTTTAGTAGACTAAAGGTCAGTCCAAACTCTTTACATGCATGGGAGAGGCGATTAACTACCACTGCAGACATCGTCCGTGTGCGATGTTAAGTTGGCATCGTCAGCGAACAGCAGTTCACGAATTAGCATGTTTTTTTTTAAAACCATGGTCTTTGCATGAAGGCTGGAGATATTGAACAGCTTATCATCAGATCTGGTATAGTATCTACGTCTTCACAGTCCCTTAACGGAAACTGAAGAAATATTGAGAAGAAAATGGAGAAGAGCATTGGCGCAAGTACGTAGCATTGTATCACTCCAATGCTGACTGGGAATACCTCAGAGACCATGCCATTGAAAGTTGTAGTGCTGTACATGTTTTTGAGAAAAGAAAGTTTGATTTCTAGCAGTCATTGGGGACAACTTATTTTATGCAATATACTGAACAGGCCACTTAGGCTAACAATATATTAGTTTATATACAACAATATTAAAACAAATGGTGTTATAAAGTTCAATGATATTTAAAAACAATTAATCTGGTGCCCTTAAAGGTGCATTTAAAAAAAAATAAAAGCAACATAAAATGTAAGATACCAAATGGCAAAGACATGAAGCAAGTTGAAAATATTAACAATTCTTTTGACAAATGGTGTGTACTTAAAAATAAGAGATGATGGCTATAGGCAGACATAGCACATACTTTAGCAGTTATTATAATTTTCTTTAATTATATTTTCAGTATAAATACTGAGTATGTTGCTATTCTTTGTATGAGACATTAACAGCTATTCTTATCCAAAACTGTTCAAAAAAGTGATTTTAAATCTTTAAAAACAACCAATTATGATGAACAATTGGGCTAGTAAGAAATTCAATGTCAGATTTAAGATAGAACAAAAAGAGTGAAATTTTCAAGTTTTATTAGTAACTTTTAAAAATGCAAAATATGTGATTCAAGTTAACACAACTTCTTTTATTTGATTTGAGTTTGGCATCAGGATTGTAAAAATGGATCTGACATATGATATGCCAATGGCAAAATTCATTTTTTAAAAATTAATTGCTAATTCTCCTCCAAATATTAGCAGGGCTAAGAATGTCAAACTACACTATTAAACCTCAGACTATAGTTAAAAATTGTAACCTTTCATTTCTGTTTAAATTAGAATTCATTGAAAATTGTTGGTCAGATATTGCAGATCTAGTAGATTACATTGAGTTTTTAGTAAACACAGTGCAAATAGGAAAAGTTCTTTTGTATAAAAACCAACAACAAATCATTGCAGTTTTCACAAACCCTGTACAACTCTTTGTCATTACTGTATGGATCTGATAAGTTGTTGGGATATTTCCCCATAGTAACTGAAATATACCTGAAAAAAATATCAAAATATTTAAAGAAATACTTGAGCTTACAAACTTAATTAACATTTCCCTCGAGTTACTGCAGTACCGGTAGTGGAAAGAACTTTTTCCTGAAGCCTAGATAAATGCATCTATACATATTTACAAGAAAAGTGTCCATGTTAAGAACATCCACACACAAATTTCATAAAAATTTTTCTCTTTTCCCACAAGTTGAATCTTGTTACATTTTCAGAACTCACCATCATAGCATACATAAAAATAAGCTTACTGGCCAATCAAGCTGTTTTAGGATATTCAGTAGGCCATACTATAAAAACTATAATGACCAATAACTTTGTTAAAACAACAGTTTTCCTTACTTTTCAGAACAATTTTCACTTTAAAAAAAACAAAAAAAAAACTAACTCTATTTTAGCCCAATGAAACATCAACTTTGATGTTGGCATAATTTATTTTTTTAATAGAAACTAATAAAAAGAGAAGTAAACAGCATGTCTTTGAATGGATCAGTATGCACTGTTACAGAAATGTGTCAGTTGGTATATAGTCCTAAATGTCAAATTTTTTGTGCTCATATGCAAGTATTGAGACCTATCCTCTAACACTACATGCACCTTGAGATAAAAAAATTCAAATCTTTTCCCTAAAAATACTTCAACGTATACATGACAAATGGATGGCCACAGAAGCCTATATTGTTCTGTTTTATTTAAAGTCTATTAATTTTATTTTTTCTTAGTCTTAAAATTTAATGCCTTGTATTTATGAAAAGCTTTTGTTATATTAATTTAGGAAAAATATAAATTATAGATGTACCATATTTAGATATCTAGTAATAGAGAAAAAAGGAGCAGAGGTGTTGGAAAAACTTAGTGGGTATTATTAATTTTACACAATTAAACTACTGGAACAGACATAAGGATAAAACTTTGTTTTATTAAATTAAATATTTAAAACATATTATCAAGACTTAATTTTGCCAAGCTCAGCGTGTGATTTAAAAAAAAATTTCTAGCAAGTAATTTCAAATTGTTCCTTTTGATTACGGAAAATTATAAAGTGAAAATATTGCTAAATTTAAAAAAAACAACTGCATTTAAATGAGCGGAAAATAATCATCAAACAATAAACTTCTAATTTAAAGATATCTTACCCATAGCCTGTTCCTTTCTTCCCTGGATTAGTTAAGATATTTTTCAAAGGTTCTCTTTTGGAACCACCACCTGATGTTGTTGGGCTAAATGATGGAATAACTCCACCCAAAGTTCCATAAAATGTCCCTAGCCCATTCCTGTAGACAAAACAAGTCACAACAGAATGTTTAAACATTTATCAATTAAAATTCTTAAATACTGCTCAATGTTTAATAAAGCGATATTTAAAAAAAATAAAATACAGGCAGAACCCAGTTCACAGATGAACAAATTTTTCAAAATTACTTATTAAATGAATTAATACCCATGGATAGGACTGTGCAAAGGTAAAGCTGTGCTACATATGCAGCCTGAAATGGTGTCCCCCTTCCAAAGTTTCATCAATAAATGATATATGATATAGGGACAATTTATTATTTTTAACATTAAACCATTCCCTTGCCTTTTTGAAACTTAAATACATTTCCTGTAAACCATAGTAGTGCTGTTGCTAGAATTAGAGCCCCTGCCTTGAAAAAAATCTGTTCAATATTAGTGCATCTCCATATAAAGAAAAAAAGGCCACCCAGGGCAGCAGCCCCTCTACCCAACTGACCAAACCTACTGTCCCATAAACCAAATTTATCATCTTATAATCTTCAAATTTCCTACCTGTGGTGCATATGCCACAAATTAAGAAAGACTGGTTTAGGATGACTTAACTTCATTTGATTGTCTTGTACATCACAATGGTTTATTAATAAATTGTTGTTTATTTTTTTTTGGTTAGGGAGAGGGGATTAAATCTTATTGTAGAGATGTATGATGGCAAATAAATGAAAAAAAAATTTTTTTTAGCAACATGGGGAGGGATTGAATTTTTTTTTGCGTACATAATAAATAAATTGCCCATAATATTAATTAAAACTTCAAGTTTGATTTTTATTTATAATTTGCTTTATAATATTTAGATTACAGATCTGTACTTACATTGATTTATAGCCATTAGTAGGCAAGAAAGCCTTGGACAAATTTTTCTTTTTATCTTCCATTCTACGCTGTCGTCTTAATTTAACAGGATCTGAATATCCTTCACCTTCAAAAACACGACCAAATTTGTCTGCAAAATAGCCGTCCTGTTTAGCTGATTTCTCTTTAAGACCACCTAGAAGCATTTGCTTACCTTTGACCGATGATTCATTAAAAACACCTATAAGATAGAGAAACAACATCAGTTCTTTTAATGAGTGAAAATAAGTTAAAATAAATAACATCCAAGTGAACCTTCTGTTATATAATTATAATTGGGCAACAAAAATAAATTAAAATTAATGTGGCCATGACTGGCATGATGAAATGACTAATTTACCATGATTCAGACAACTTTAATATTTTTTTAAAGCTTGAAATAATCGGATTTAATTTAAATTTTAATAAATAAATACAAGATTTACCCTGTCCAGGAGTTTTGTATGGATCTCCAACTGTCACATAATCCATTTCTTTAAACAAGCCCACTCGCTCCATATCAGATTTTCCTCCTTTATCTCCCATTTTTGTGAGCTTGCTTGTTATTCTCAATAAATAACAACAATTCTTTGACTTTGAATAACTTATTTAATGACAATGAGCTATCTTTAGAAACTATAGGTAACAGTTTTTTACTATCACATTTAGCCTGTTGATGTTCTTGCTTTGTAACCTAAAAAAGCAATTATATTAATGAGCAGTCATCAGCAAATGCCAAATTATATGAGTTTTGGTGGAAATCACAAATTCACACATAATCTTCATCTTCTAGTCTAAGTCAACTTTCTATCTATCGGATAAATAAAATATTTCATGTGACATTTCCTTCAGCGAATCATCACAGTCACACTAGTCACAGTGATACGGAAAAGCTAAGGCTAAGGCCTAACATTGTTTTCAGATTATAATTATAATATTTATTATTTTGATATTAATAGTTACTAATACTTTACTAGTGCTATTAACACTAACTATTTAATTAGTAAATTAAATTTAAATAGTCAAATTCTATTGTGACTCAAGTTCAAGTCAATTGTCAATGATAATAATTAATCAATCATCAATGATTTAGTTTTAAGTTTAAGACTAACTTTTAGACTTTTAAACTAGGCCTAGGCCTATTGCTATTACTATTCGTTTACGGTTTCACAAGCCTAGATCTACGGAGAATCTTCATCCACTTAGAACGTAAGTAACTTAGGGGAAAAGTTTGATGTTAAAATTATGGTACGGATCCCAAAATATAAGTTTTTAAAAGTTGGTTATAATTCCAACATTAGCTACTGCTGTCAGACATTGTTGAAGTAATCTCTATGGAGATGAAATCTCATACGCATGTACCGGAAATCAAGTGGTACCTTGATGATTTAAAAACTACAACCAGAATTTAAATATAAACAAACGAAATTTGTGTAAGTTATTATTTTCGTGTCGTATGGATTGATGTGTTAATTTAAAATATTTTGAATTTTATTTGTGGACCAAAATAATAAAGCAATATTTTTTTAAAAGCAGGCAAAAAGAGGAAGAGCTGTGTTATTGTAATATGTTTGTCATCGAGAACATTTTCTTCAATTTATGTGTAGAATAATCCATTCATTTTCATTCATTCATTACTTAGGTTAGTCCAATTTTTGAGCAATCATTTGGTACTTTCAATTTCCCTTTCCAATCCTAGCCTGGGAATCACAAGATTATATTGACAGTTGCTTGCAGTTGCAGACGAAAGCACACAATGTTGTCGTATTTAATAGAACGGCTTGCAAATTAAACACCTTGCCTTGCTTGGGGCTTGGGCTGTGCGGTTTGCCTTGCCTTACTTGATGAACAAGACATCCCATGCTGCATACTCAACTAAGTTACAGTAGAAGTAGAAGTAGAAGTACTCTTTAAGTGTATATTTGGGGGGGGGGGGGGCACTAATTAATTGCTATTGATCCATCCCTATGTCATATGATCTAACCTTGCCCTTATGCCTATCTATGCCTATACATTTATAATAATATCAGCATCATGATTATAACTTCATAAGTTAATTAATTTTTAAATTAAATATTAAACTTATTACTTATTAACTACCAGATAAATATAGAGTAGAGTGGTCATTCAAACAAATTCTTCTAAGGCCAAGGCAGAACTCCAGAACCAGTGTGCCATGGGCTGCCACACTGATGTGCCATGACATGAGATGCTAGGGCTAAGTGTGCATTGAGATGCTAGGTGTGCCATAACATATTCATATTGACTCCAAGACTAAGAGTAGGAAAAGCACAACCTTTGTGGTGGTGGTATTTTATGGTTGATAAGTCAAAATGATACACAAGTGTGTTGATAAAACCATGACAAATCTTTTGCTGATACCAAACTCAAACAGGCAAACTTTGGCAGTCATACATCACAGAATATGTGAATAAAGGTCTTATACTTATACTGCTAGCTAAACTGATTCATCATCTACAATCAAAATCATTAGGTCTAACAAAACTAAGCAAATTTTCAGTTAAAATCTTTGCAGCTGCAAAAATGAGAGTATCTTTTACCTACAGTTTCCTAAGTTATTTACATTAAAAATTAATTTGCACGTCAGAAAAAAATTTATAGTGGTGAAACTTTCATGCTACCAGTTTGTATGAAAATCATTAGATTGTCACCACTTCATGCTACCAGTTTGTATGAAAATCATTAGATTGTCACCACAACCAAGACATACAGGAAAAAACAAGCCACTATTTCAGCATAGCTTGGACTCAACATAAATAGAAAGAAAAATAAAGGTTTTGAAGATAAACACATCCAACCAAGAATATATCGCCTTGGCAGAAAATGCACTGGAAGAGGTGAAGGCTACTTACGTGGGCAGCACCATAGACATAAATTAAATGGGGGATCAGAAGCAGATGTTAGGGCTAGAAAAGGAAAGGTTAGGTCAGCATTCATGCTGTTAAAGAAAATATGGGAATCAAACAAGCTGACTCTGCAATCTTAAGTTAGAATCTAAAAAAAAAATGTCAAATCAGTCTTACCAGACTACTCTGTTGAGACAGGACTTTGAGAAGATCAGTGAGCATCTAGTAGAAAGTACGGAACTCCACAATCACTTGCCTTAAAAAGATCTTGAGCATAAAATGGCCAATCATCATCAAAACACCTTCTGGAGAGGACATACCCTGAACATCTTGCTGATGACATCTCAATGAAAAGATGGAGGAGAAATGGGCACACTCTCCGCAAACGGCCAGGAAACATCACTAGACAATCCCTAACATGGAACCCACAGGAGAAAAGGAAGAGAGGAAAGCCAAAGAATACTTGGATACACGAGTTAGAGGCAGACAAAAAAAATATGGGATACACCTACAAGGAAATAAAGGACAGAGATGAGAGCAAAACTCCTATAGATAGCGTATGCCTCAGGCAGGGTAGAAAGCTTTTTAAAAAAGTTTTTAAGAAAAAATTATTGGTCATGATAATTTAAAGATGATCGTGACTTTGAGATGCTTATCAGATTATAAGCTTAGGTCTGCCTTTGAGCCATTTTCCTCTGGGGTTTTGTTGATGCACCCTCTTCACTCTTATGTCATTTGTTGTTTTTTTCATGCATTTCATAGTGCTACAATTAAAATGGACTATTTGGTGTATCAGGTTTTGCTAGGAGTCTTAATTAAGGAAGTTCAATCAAAAATGATATAATATCATTCATCCTTCAGTTCTGTGTTCTGAGCAGTGATTTAGTTGAAGTGATGGCAACAGTCATGAAACTTATACATTTCATATGAAGCAATTTGTCGTTGCAGCATGGTCTTTATTAAAGTTTCATAGATGATTCAAGTGCAGAACACTGTGATTTGCGCGTGGATTACCCCTGACTTAATGGGCTTAATATTTTGCTACAAGGTAAAATCAAGATTTGTCATGGAGCTTCAACAGAAATGGAATTCTCTTCAGAACAAACTTGCACCATTTGCATTTTGCAAAGAAAAATTATCAGATGAGTTTTTAAGCCAATGTAAAGATTTTTTAGGACTCCCAGGAACGTTTATTTTAGTTACAGATCTGTTTATTTTCCTGCCTAATTGTAATTGGATAGTTGCTGCTGTGGCTTCCTTTCGCACATTTAGTCCAGCTGCTCTTCTGCTTGAAACAGCATGTTATTTGCAGATTAACAGCATCCAAATATCGGAGGGGGGGGACGGACTAACAGTTAAAGTCTTGTCCATGTTCGGCTCAACTAATATATTAAACAGCGTTTTCAACAGTGAACATCAAGGCAAAGTTTTTCCGTTTAATCACAGATAAACATATTGAAAACTCAATCTGAGTAGCTTTGATACTCACCAGATGACCAGACCATTTTGAGTACCGGTACAGTAGTAAAAGTCAGTTTCATTTCTTACACTGACAGTTTTCAGCAGCCAAGGAAAGCAAATTTGAATACTGCTTTCCTTTTAATAAAGTTAGTGAACTAAAAAATTATTGAAATTCAATACTACAATAAAGTTAAGTTCACTGTAATTCACTACTAACATTCTCTAACAAATAAATAACTTTATTTAAAAAAAGTTGATATATTAAATAGTCACCTTAACCTTACTTTGAATTTATGATAACATGACCTATGAATGCTATGGCCATAGTAATTTAGGCGTAAGTCAACATGGGGAATGTCCTGTACAGTGGTTGTGCCCCCAGAACATGTTCAATCCAAAAATCTGGCCTTTGGGCCGAAAAGTTTGTGTACCCCTGGTCCAGAGGCTGTGGTGGGTTTGAATTGGATAACTTTAACATTGATCACATTAACAAAGAAAAAAATAATAAAACCTTATGATTTAGCAAAATAAGCTCCCACAGTCCTTCTGATGTAAAGTCATTTTGTTAAATGATATAATAACAGTGGCCAGGGGTGAACTGTCAAAAGCACATCACTAAAACACATAATCTTCAAGAGTGCCTTTCAAAGCAGTTTCCCCCTTTGCCCCACCCGCCCAGGTTTGCCACTGTATTTAAAAAAAACCCATTAAATTCTGCAGCCTTTGTAATTTTTAAAATTATTTTTTTTTAATGCAATTTTCTGAGCCACACTTCAAGTGACTTTAAAAATTTAATTTCAGATTGCTTAAAAGAATGGCGGTTGATACTGCAACTGCAGATCCTAAAAATACATTCAAGATCTTGATAGCCTCAGATATTCACCTAGGTTATATGGAAAATGATCCTATCAGGGGAAGTGACTCATTAGTTACCTTTGAGGAAATATTGTCAATTGCTCGGGAAAAAAAGGTTGATTTTATTTTGCACGGTGGGGATTTATTTCATGAAAACAAACCATCACGAATAACATTACATGGATGCCTAGCCCTGCTTCGTGAGTACTGCATGGGCGATAAACCTGTTCACTTTGAATATCTCAGTGACCAGTCTGTGGACTTTAAACACTGTAAATTCCCTACAGTAAATTACGAAGATCCCAACTTTAATGTTTCCATTCCATTATTTTCTATTCATGGAAATCATGATGACCCAACAGGACCTGGAAACTTGTGTTCTTTGGACTTATTACATACAGCTGGACTTGTAAACTATTTTGGCAAAGCCTTATCATTAGACAAAATACAAATCTCTCCATTGCTCCTTGAGAAAGGAGGAACAAGACTTGCCTTGTATGGGCTGGGCTCAATCAGAGATGAACGCTTACACAGAATGTTTCTTAAAAAGGTATTATACTATAATTTATACGTATTCAGTTATAGCTGGTTTTTATAAAACTTTTAGCATGATTTTCTTGAATGCAATAAACTTGTTAACTTATTTTGATATATAATAGCTTTGCTTTGACCAATATACTCTATTATATCTGGCTAATTCATTTTATCAAATTATGACAACATAATTATGAAAATTTATTGAAGAATTTGAATTAAGTTCAGGCTCTAGTAATAAAGAAGACACCATTTAACAAATGTCTCTTAAGTTATGGATTGTAGTTTTAAAAACTTTTTACTTTCACAAGATACGAAGTAATGTGATGTAGGAAATTTCTTTTTATGTATTTTGCATTTTAAAATACATGAAAGTTCCATGGTCATGTTTAACAAAATTAATGCACCATTCACATAACAAGGATTTTCTTACACGTTTGCTTTTATATTTAAACTTTTAAGTACTTGAGAATACTAAGTTTCGAATTATTCATTTTTTTTTTGGATAAGTAACAATTCTCTCCAATTCATTCATTTCCTACTAATTTTCTTTTATTTTGACATTGTTTACCTAACTTGAATATTGATTTCACAACTAGGATGTGTCAATGCTCAGACCAAAAGAACATCAAGAAAGCTGGTTCAACATGTTTGTTCTTCATCAGAACCGAGCTAAACATTCACCCACTAGCTACATACCAGAGCAGTTCCTGGAAGATTTTCTAGACCTTGTAATATGGGGACATGAACATGAGTGTCGTTTGAATGTCAGTGAGAAGAAAGTTGAATGGAATGAAATACAGCAGCTCTTTGTTTGTCAACCAGGAAGCAGCATTGCAACTTCTTTGAGTGAAGGTTTGAAATCTTTGTGATTTTTGTGTGTGTTATTTGTGAATTTGCGCTAGGGAATTACATGATATACACATTAGTTTCTAATGCTCATCAAAACTCTATCAATAATATATCAATATCTCTTCCCTGTCTAAAGAACATTTCTGCAACTGCCTGTAATAAATTCGTTTTTTTCCTATGATGCTATTACTAAAAAAAAAAAAAAAAGACTATTGTCTGAATTAATTTTATATTTCATTGTGGAATTCACATAAGGTGTTGATGTCATTAATGTCAATAATTATCAGATTAGTGAAGCCACCTATCTTATTTGCACCTATTTTGTAATCATTAGAAGCAAAAATATTTAATTGCATTATTTTTTCCTTTTAATGTTTTTCAATTGTTTAATATTAATCTATAAGATAATTATGTAAAATTTAATTAACATTTCTGTTACCGGTATTTGTTTTTATGTTCTACTGAAGAAGGCATTAACCATGACATAAAAATGTCTATTTGTCTTATAATTAGAGCTTACATACACTGTTTTATTTAAAAAAATTGTTTGTATGTGATTGATTTACTTTCATTACAGTTTGCTACCCAAATTCTTAACTTTTAATTCTTAATTTTAACTTTTAATTCTTAATTTGTTTTAAGTAAATACTCCTAAAAACATAGTAAAATCTGTTATATTGTAAATAAATTCCCAGCTATAGTTTGACAGAATTATAAATTGCCTCACTGCATTATATTTCACAGGAGAAATGGTCCCTAAACATGTTGGTCTTTTAGAAATTAATGGCAAAAATTTCCGCATGCAATCAGTGGCCCTCAAATCGGTGAGGCAGCTTTACATGCAAGATATAGTTCTAAGTAAATACATAAAGTCTAGTGAACCGAAGAGCCAGCAGAAAGCTGAGGAGATTTGTGCCGAAAAAGTGGAGGAATTATTAGCAAAAGCAGGTACGTTATTTTAATAAAGTTAGATAGTGGAGCTTCATAAAATGTTTTTGATAAAAGCAAAATTTAGATTATGACACTGCATGTTCCAATGATACTATTCATAATGAAATATAAAGTTATACAAGGGATATAACATTCTCTTATTTAAATTATTTAAGAAAAAGAGCACACAGGCAGTACAAAACAGCCCCGTCAACCATTAGTGAGATTGAGAGTTGACTACACTGGATTTGAGCCATTCAGCTCTCAAAGGTGATGCTAATAAAAATAACAGGAGAAAGTAAATATGCCACAAATATTATATCACCACAATAAATTTTGAAAATTAATAAAAGTAAATTTTTTCTCCTATTATTTTAGATGGGATTATTGATATTTTTGTGAGTTATATAATAATTATGTGTTATTAAAAAAAAACACTTTATAAATCAGAGCATAAATAAGGCATGTGAATATGTCACATGTGAAGTAAAGGTTTAGGTTTTTTGCGGGTGTAAGCTGATGAAAGTTTGTGGAGACCTAAAAGTATATCTATATTGATAATATCATTCCATGGTTAATATTTAAAAAACAATTTTGTTTTTGTTATAGGTTTGGGCAGAAATTTGTTGACAAAGTAGCCAATCCCAAAATGCTTCTTCAATTTTATAGACAGAAAGTGGAAAGATCAACATTTAAAGATGGTGTGTTGAATTCAGTAAATGTAAACATCATGCAAAGGAGCATAGGACAATATTCTTAGTATATTTATTTTAAAAATGTGTTTTTTTGAAGTCCGGATAGCAACAAATGTTGGTCTATTTATTTTAGTATAGTTTTTCGACTGTACTAATATTGAAAATTTTCATTAATGTTTTTAAAGTTCTTTAAATTAATTCCATAGTCAGATCTGAAAAATAGTTGAGCATCAATATAGGATTTATTTCCATTAATTAGTCTTGAAAAATTATGTAGTAAAGATGTTCAAGTGATCCAGAAAATAAAGGATGTAATTGAAAGTGATCTAAACTTAAATTTAGTACAGGAAAAAAATTTTTTTAGCCACATGGGGCTATATGAAATAATTTTTCAGAGTAAATCTATCCGCAATTTTTTTTTCCCGCTATAGATCCTGAACTTTTTGAAAGAATTAAAAATGTTGCACTGGACAGCACAAGAGTCGAGGATATGGTAGCTAAAATTGTGGCAGAAGGAGGGGTAAGAGTGTAATTAGTATCTCATCAAATGTGCATGGATTCTCCACAAATAGAGATGGCATTTAGCATGCCTTAAAATAACTTAATCTCTTGGTGAATACAACTTCAGCATATGATGTGGTTTCGCAATGAGTCTTAATTGATTATACCAATGTAACCTAAACTATGGCACAGTTATTCAGTCTCCTCTCTCTCCACATAGATCTGTTGGTGAGAGACAATTGCATTAACAACCTCTGGGGGTAGAAGTATCTCTTTGAGCTATCGAATATATTGCCAAAGGTTCTAATCAACCATTAACATTTTTAAAAAAAATATTGCAAAGCTAAATATTTTAACCCTTCTTTAACAATTTTTTAAAAATCTCTCTATTGCGTAATTTATTAATTTATATTTTAAAATTACATAGCAGTTTACATGTGTATCAAATGCAAATATGATTTGATAGTTGCAACACTTGGTATTAAAAATAGATGAAAACCTTAACAAAATTTGTCAGCTTGTTTGTTCAGTAGGGTTTAGATTAGTGGTCCCCAAACTTTTTATCGCCGCGGACCGGTCAACGTTTGATAATTTTACAGCGGCCCGCAGATGGGTTGGGAGTGTTGATTGTTTATATTTTGGATTGTTTGGATTGATAATTTTTATTTAATTGTAGTTAAACATCCCTTCAAAGTAAAATAAAATTACATCAAAAATGAATATAACCTGATTTATCATTTTAACTCACTAGAAAGCTAAATCAATGAGAACCATGAGCTTGTTTTTATGCAACGAGATGGTTCCATCTGGGGGTAATAGGAGACAATGACACCCGAAGTGTGTTGCTTATGTCCAGTTTATTCTGTTGTTTTGTTTTGGTTGCTGTCACTGCAGAAAACCCCGCTTCACACAGATAGGATGTCGGAAATGGCAATAGGGATTTAAGTTCTGTGGTGGCAATCCTAGGGTATTCCAACATTGATATTTTAATTCACTATTAAGATACCATATAAAGAAGAATTTAGTGCCCGCTGTGACTGCCCTCTCTGCCCTATTCTCATCGCTCTGCCCGAGGGCAACATGGCACCCAGAGTGACGCATAATATGGGGACCACTGGTTTAGATCATACAAATACAATAAATACATGCTTCTTTTTCTTACAGTATCAGTTAAAGTTATTGAGTGAGAAAGGAATGGGGGAAGCAATAAAAGAATATGTGGACAAGGATGAAAAGGGAGCTATAGGTGAATTGGTAAAATACCAGTTAAAGAAGACACAGGTATGAGATGTTTGATATTGACATGATGTATTTTAATTCATATTTCTTATGCTAGTATTTAATATATGTATATATATATATTCACATCAGCATCAAGGATTATGGAAGAGAACACCTCAATTATCTGGTGTCCCCAAATAATGTTTAATTTTAAACATATACATAAAATAGCTATTTATATCATCCTGGATTACCTCTATCTTTCCCCCGGTCATTGCACCACTGTCAACAACTGCTTGCAGTGTAGTGGTTGAAGGGGTGTAACAGTATAGTATTTTGTAACTATTGCCCACGATCCTGTGTCATTAGCTTAAATAACAGAATGAAATTAATACACTCACTTGCAGGGCTACTTACATATGCGCAACACAGCTGAAGACAGAATTGATGAGGATGTTGTACGATACAAAGAGGAAAGAAAGAGAACATCTGGGGAGGAAGAAGAGGAAGTCAAGGCAGCCATCAAGGTAGCTCAAACTAAGCGAGAATCTCAGCCTAGAAATGGGGATGGAGACATCTCGGACATTGATAATGATGGGGAAAGCATGGAGACACCGCAAGCAACAAGGGGGCGAGGTCGGGGGAGAGGAAGCAGAGGGGGAGCAAGAGGAAGAGGGAGAGGAAGAGATGACATCATGGATGAAGATACTGGTGAGTCTGGCCTGCCCCTTAAAATCTTTATGCATTTAGAAATGAACAAAAAGCTTATTTAACATTATTCTATAATGCTTTAACCATTTGGAATTTAACCAAACATTGTATTTCCCAATGGCAATAAATTTAGATAGTCTCAGATCATAACACTCATCATGTCAATAAATTGTATAGCTGTTAAATGAGATAAACTCTTTAATTCACACATTATACACAAAAATACATTAAAAATTACGGCCACTGTCACAATTATCAAGGGGTTGGGGGAGCAGACTTCAAGGACTCAGACTGGAGGGATGCAATTTCCTGCATACTTCACTAAAGTTTTGTAATATTCCAAACCTAATCCGAGAGCAACAGAAGAGGTGCTAGGGGAAATTTAGATTCCCTTGACCTGTTAGTGTTAAAAAAAATCCTTTATATTTAATATTTGCCAAATAGTAATACTGTTTTATGATTAATTTAATATTTGAAATTACTGTTTGAATTGAATTTTTAAAAATCAGTCCAAAAGAGGGGCAAATACGCTATACTGACAAAAAAGTTATTAATTAATTAATATATATTTCATTAATATATGTGCATTCATACCAAGAAGGTAAAAAAGTGCTAATTGAATGAAGAAAGAAGTTCACTTGTGATACATCCTGCAGGCCGCAATATTTAATGTGCTGCGCTGCATGCGAGCTGTCGGTTGCCAACCCCTAGTTTTATCTTTAGAGCAGTGTTTTTCAACCTTTTATGTCTCTTAAGAGGGTAATTAGACATCATATGGATATTGACAGATAAAATTGTTCCTGACACCCAAACTTTAAAAAAGAAATTAATTCTAGTATTGTGAAATTGATGTGTCTATCACTAATAGTAATAGCATTTCATCTTACATTGCTGTTAAATATTATTTTTTTATTAGATTTAAGCCTGTCATCAATACCTGTCAGAGGACGAGGATCTCGTGGAGGCAGAGGATCAAGAGGTTCTAAGAAAACTGTTGAAGAAAAAAGATCCCTAAAATCATACTTTCAGCCGTCTTCCAATTCCATGCGGTCTTCCTTGTAAGTCATTATTATGTAAAGAAATTTAAAGTTTGCTTTACATTAAGTGAATGAGGACCTTGGTCGGTTGTCAGAGATTCATTACAAATTCTTGAATCTTATCTGTCATGTCTGTTTATTGATAAAGGTATCCACAGAGCATGGAGAGTTATGTGTAGTATTCCAGCATAAAACAGTTCCCATGCGCTATTCAACTTTTGAAAGAATGACATATGAGAAAAATCTTAAAATTACATGAAAACATTATGTACATGTGTACTGGCCTTTAAAAAAACAATAATTTCTACTTGTTCCTCATGGACTTGGGATTTTATCTTTATAAGTTTATGTATCATGTTTCTATTCAGCAGATAACATAAAAAGTCAATTAAAAACTTTTGAGAGGAAATTAATGACTGAAAAAAAAGTCCCCTTGATACATCTTTCTTATTTTGGACAAAATTTCAATATAATTTCAGCAATCTCCCCCCTTCTACTTTAAATTATCAATGAAATTACCAAGGAATTCCTGAAGTTGATATTTTTATCTAACCTAAAGATATTTATAAATATTGGATGAGACCAACTGATTATACCATAATGCTCTATAATAAAAATAACCAATTTCAATTTTAAAATCAGGACCCCCACCTCAATGTTGAACTTAATTTAATAATTTTGTATATCAGTGGTCTCTAGGTGTATAAGGCTGCATAGATTATGTTAATATAGGAAGTGTATTCATTTGAGCTTAATTACTGGTGATAGCTAGATTCTTTTACAAGGTGCATGATTCATAACTTTATCCTGCTTACAGTTTTTTAAACATAATCACTATTTTTTATCCCAGTACTTGCAGTATATCAGAGCTCATGAGCATCTCTATTTTTTTTAGGGCTGAATCAGGAGAGGAGTCCATCATACTCGAAGACAGTGATGATGATGATAGTTCACTGCAATCATCAAGCTTTAACAGACCCAGCACAGCACAGAAAGTGACGACGAAAAAGAGAGAGATTCAGTATGTAGATTCAGATTCAGAAGATGAGGCAATCAATAGAAAAAGGAAGAAATAGCAAAATGTTATAAAATTAATTCTCATTTGGAACAGAACATTCCAGAGGTGTGGCTTGCAGATTTAAAAAATTGATTCGTTCATTTTAGTTTGAATGTAAGTAAAAGTGTCAGGAATCCAGGTGCACAATAAAAGTAAGGACTGTACAATTTTTTATATTTTTACTACAGTATTTAAACAAATTCCAATGGCTAGGTTTGTCGGTTGCACTACAGTATGTAACTGCAGTTCTCGTACATAACTTCTGGTGTTAACTATGCTTAGGCAAAATTATGCAATTCTTGTTTGACATGCGAGGGAAAAATATCTTCTTTCACTATTATGATTTCGCACTACTTTTATGATGCAAGAAAACTATGTCTTCTTTAATCAATGCCTTTAAAAAATTTTTTTTTTTAAAAATAGGGTGGGGGGGGGGGGCACAGATAGCTGGAATTTTGCATTCTTCCCCTAAAGATTAGGGGAGTAGGTCTTGAAATCATGCCAGCCCTGGACTTTCCAATTTAAAAAATTTTTTTTTTTAAAAATAGGGTGGGGGGGGGGGGCACAGATAGCTGGAAATTTGCATTCTTCCCCTAAAGATTATGGGAGTAGGTCTTGCAATCATGCCAGCCCTGGACTTTCCACTGTGCCTAACTAATTATACTTCACTTTATTACAATCTTTTGTTCATATCTTTTATGCCGAATCATTTAGTACAGTGCTTTCCAACTGTTTAGACATACATCTTTTCACTACACAGTAAGTTGGTTTGACCAGAAACCCTTAAAGACATTCGGGCACAAACACAAAATTCAGTTGTGTAGCAAAGGGTGCACAGGAGGCCCCAGGCCACACTTCCTCTTCATTTTGAGGAGCGGCATTTTGGGCTCACTGCAGAGTTGTTGTTTTTTTCGTGGAAGGGGTTGGGGAAAACTTTTCCTTGCTCCGAGCCGAATTAAGCCGAGCTATGTCACTGATTGAAAGGGAAAGAAGGAGATTAAGAAAGAGCTTCTGAAAAGCTGAGGGTGAGCTAAAATGGGGTAATGCCAAAAATGCTGCCTCTCTATAATAAAGTAAAAAAAGGACTGACTTGATCGGATCGTTCCGCTCTCTCCCTACGCCACTTCTTTCCATTGTCTTTCCATTGTCAAATCACTATCTTGTCTCCAACTGCCAACAAAAATTTATTCACCTCTGCTACTTTTCTCTTTTTCATTGTATGCGGGTGATTTTGTTAGAATATGCTGTGTGTCTGTCAGTGAGATCTTGATATACCAGTACCATTTTGTGCAGTGTGTTTGAATTAGATCACAAATATGATTTTGCTTATTTTCCTTAAAAACAAAAGTCAGCGTCTTTTCCCTCAATTCGCATTCAAGACAAGCACCTGAACTAATCACAGTATTCACAGCAGTCAACAAATGTGTTTAATGTTAGCTGTTTGACAAATATTTGCAAATAATCTTGATTGAAGTGGTCTGCTTTTAATATAATCTACCATTTGTATCACTTTGTCACTAACTTTTCTTAATTAATTTCCAGCGGTTTTTTAAGTCTAGAAAAATTTGTGAATATTGATATAGCTTAGAATCCCATGGCACACATTGATTGATTGATTGATTTTGATATTTATATCGCGCTGGTATCCATGCCACTTTAGCATGCTCACTGCCCTCTGGTTTTCCGAAATCTATTTAACCAAAAAAGTATTGTTTCTTAAATGATTTTTTATCATTAACAATTCTCCTCAAAGATTGAGGCAAACTGTTCCATAATTTTGGCGCTATCGCTTCAAAAGAGCGCACTCAGACTTTTTTCTGTGTTCATCCAAACTAGGAACACTAAGTAAGAACTGTGTTGAAGACTGCAGGCTCTTCAAGGATACATGTTTATAAATCAGTTCTTTCAGATATTCCTGTGCTGAGCCATCTATGCAGCTGTACACATGCACCCTGCAGGTAACACACTACTATGTCATGATACACTACTGTGTCGCAAAACATTTTTTGGAAAGCACTGATTGAGGAACATTCAAAGAAATGCTCATTAAATATTTTAAGCATGTTTGGGAATTTTAGGGCTACAAAGATGTCTAATTTTGTTTTGTGAAAGACACTTCACTCTGTATTATTATTTAAGGGTAATTTAGTCACTTCCTTGTAGGAACTTACTTTTCCAGTTCAATGAACTTAAGTGGTGGGAAACCTTTGATTATTTAAGGGTATTGTAGTTGTAGTCACAATCTTGTACCAACTTACTTTTCCGGTTGAACAAACCTGAGTGTGTGCAAAACTAGATTTAAGGAGGAGAAAACTAAAGTAAAAATTAAATTTATTGTATTCAAGCTGACATATGCAATTTGAAATTGCTGCTTACATGCATTTATAAGTAACAACATAACAAGGTGTTGAAAGTTCTTATATAAGCCGTTCATCTCCAGGTAGACAATTGTGTTGCGAAATTCCACTTCGAAGATAATTTGTGTCATATGTTGGTGCATTCTGCAGGATGATTAAGTGCTGGGACTTCTTCAGTTTCCTCAGCTCTGTAGTAGTAAAATAAAATATACTGATACATTTTTATAGAGCTTTTGTTTTGGGGATAAATAATGGATGACCATAGGGTTTCAAATTTGTACCAATGTTAAGTCAAGGAAAAAGAACAATGCATGTTATTTTTTTATATGTCATGTTAAAGAAAACTTTTATTTGTAAATATTAATATTTGAATGTATCAGAAATTCTTTTATTTGTATTCCAACATTGTGAGGTACGGTACTTTAAATTATTCTAACTAGATTACTATGGTGATAAAAAACGGTTTGATCAAAGTTTTTTACCTGTTTAATAATTCAATACTAAGGCATATTTGCTTGAACCCGTGGTCATAACTATGACACAATCTAAAAACACTTTTCACATTCACCAAAAATATTACAGTAAAAGTTGCTTTTAAATTAAAATAATTCATTTTTTAAAATTAAAGACATTAATTTTCTTTTCTTCTAAATCTCATGTCATTTATGGAAGTTAGGTTAAGTGTGTAAAAAACTAAAATCACTTACATTTCATATGACAACAAACTAAAACTCATTACCCTAACTAAAATTCTGAAACACCCCTTTCAAGTATTTATTCTGAAAATATTTACTGATTCTATGATTTATAGCCTCCAAATCAATTATCATTACTGGTACTAATTCAGATACTTGATGGACTTTTTTTTTTGGTCTCATCAGTGGCCTAGCAAGGTTTAGTGCTGCCTGGGGCAGGCCAAGATTTTTGTCACTCTGTTCCATTGGAAAAAAACTCGGTATTTTGCTGGAAAAAAAGTGCTGCCCATGCGCCCCCTCCCCCAAACCACCACTATGTGACTGGGTCCCATATTTTGTAGGAAAATTCCCCTCAATTTTTTTTTTACCATTGATTCTTGTTACTTTCACTAAACTATTGGCGACAAACCTGTGCCACACACACAAATACTGTAAGTCACAAGACACACCCCTGTGCCACTCACAGTCACACATGAACTGTTAAGTGTAATTCACAAAACACCATTTGAAAACTGGGGATCTAGAATATCACTAATAAAGTTTAAGATTAGGGCTGTCGAACTTTGTGTTAAAATTTGGCAACTAAGGCCTGAACACACTGAATAAACTTTAGATATAACAACAAATATCTGAAATTAATTGATTGTTGCAAACTGTGGGCTCAAAATTCTGTTTCAGCCAGATGCAATACATTTATGTATAAAATTTTTGTCATTTGTTATAAATTCTTGTACATGGTATAATTATGTATTCTTAAAATAATAAACTTGTTCATGTATGAACTGCTTCAAGAACTGGAGCAGAACTATATTTATGTCATGTTTCACTGTACTTTGAATGGCTGTATATGAAAATATATTAAGTGCCATATCATATGTTAACAGATGTTAGGTAGGCCTTCTTCTGAAATTAACCATTACAAGGTTTTCTGAAATTAATTACTTCAGCCAAGCCAGTATTTTGGACTGTAGTAATTGGACCATGGGAAATGTAATATGTTATACGTAGTTCATTTTTAAAAGTACAACTTGGCAGCTACCACCCCAATATTCTTATTCTTTATTTTCCAGTAGAAAACTTGACTTTAGTTTTACCCAAGAAGTGAGTTCTGTTTACTCATATACTCCCTAGTCTAAGGTGGACATCTCAAATATATCAGACATAAAATAAAATATCAAATGTGGAATTTACTTATCATAGAGTAATAGTTATGAAATATGCCACATTTATTGTCCTGTCATTTCCAACAGGCAAATATTATAGTCCTTTAAAAAAAAAATACATATTTATGTTGAAGCCTCAAAGTAAGTAAGGTAAGGCATGATTGTTTAATTTGTTACAGGCAACTGAGAAAATATCAATGGAAGCATGCATTTAAAACTGATGTCAGTCAACCAGAACACATGACATATGGCAGTTACACATTTTATCAAATTTTTAACATTTAATCTGATTTGTTTTTAATGCATAAAAGGATTTATAATTTATATAAAAATGATAATGAAATAATTTCCATATGCTGTAATTATTATTATTGATTTTTATAATGTTGAAAACTTTCAAAAATTAAATTTTCCTGGAAGATTATATAAAAACTCATGATTTTTTGTTTCAAATGCAAATAAATCATAGTCTTGGCCTTCAAGTATGATGGAGGAGTTAAGTAAAAGAGTCACATTAAAAAAAAAAAAAAAAGTGGGCAGTGTGTGGCAAAGTCCGAACTTAAAAAAGACACATTAAAAAAAAAAAAAAAAAAAGTGGGCAGTGTGTGGCAAAGTCATCAACATGAAGTGGCAGCCAAAAACGCTTCATCTGAAAGGTTTGCAGGTCTTTCTGGGTTTGGGTGTACACCAAAGTGTTAATGTAGTCTTTTTATAGTTTTGGTAGATAATCCTAAGTCCTGAGTGGTGAGAGAGGTGATGTGGCACTCATCATTTTGACCTTTGCAGTGGGGACATGATGGTGTTCTGTCTGGCCTCATGTGGTTGGGGTGTAAGTTCATTTGGTGTTGTGTCTAGTGACATGTGGTTGAGGTATCAAATGGCAACCAAGGTCCCATACACTGAACCTGAAGTACTCCCCCCTGACAGGTCTCCCCCAGTACCTTTCCCCATTGTGATGCAGTCTTCGCTAAGCTTGGCCGGACATGAGCGCATGTCAGACCTCCGGCTGCCATAGAGAGTATTTTATAGTGAATTTTAGAACGTTAAGTGGTCTGTTGGAAATCAGAAGAAATGCTTCAAAGACAAATGAAAGCCCCACTGAAAGCGGTTTAGATAAATCCGGCCTCGTGGGAAGAAACTACTCTGCACACAAAGACTCCATGTAGCACCACGCCAACAGAACAGCTGCTGGAAAATCTAAGACAGAAAATCCCATGCAATTATTGAATCTGGAGTATGTCCTGTCTATCCCTTGTGTCTACTGCTAAAGAAATTACTGAAACGTGAAATTAATAAAGTTATATCCCCTGTAGTTTTAGAAAGACAGGAAGTCACTCTTCTTTGGGTGAGCTAAAGAAAGCCATTATCAACAACAATGGCGTCGAATTCTGGTGAGTCGTACACTTAGGGAACATTCCCTTTATTTTAAGATTGTTGACAGAAATATTTAATTATAAGACATGAAATATGCCGTCTACATCGAAGCATTTACATTAAATGAATTAATTTCATTCGTATTTCATGTTATATAAAGATTCTTAAGTAATCCCAATATATTTTGAAAACAAAAGGCAAGAAGAGTACGAAATGACTGACAATTAATAATTGGGCCCTAAACCTAAACTGAACCCTAAATCTATCCCTAAACCTAACCTAAACCCTAAACGGTAAATTCGGAGAGATCAGCCCGTGGCCGCCATGTTCGTTATCGCGACCCACGAACTTATGTCCTAACTGTATCCCTAAACCTAACCTGAACCCTAAATGTATCCCTAAACCTAATCTGAACCCTAATTCATGGCAACTTTAATAAACACGCAAAATCAATCTGAATTAGCCCCCTAAACTTATCCCTAACCTGGGTTTTGACCCTATCGGAACCAGGGACAAAACACTCAAATGACGTCAGGATGCTATCTTCACATTAGCCAATAATTGTTATGATTTTACTGGTTTCAAGTTAAATATATAATATAGCCATTATTTTGGGGTCATTTTTTATGTTCAATCTATGAATTGAAGTTGAAGTCAAATCTTGTCATTTTGGCTCATACTCGTAAACTAGAATTGGCTGGCACTTATTGATTTTAGGCCACAACCGGTAACTACTCGTTGACAACAATTTATGGGCTCCCAATTTATCATTTATGAAAACGAATTATTGAATTGTAATTAAACTTTAGTACTTATTGCTATTAATTTCTTAGACTCTCATATTAATTTTGCCTAATTTTAAATATTGAGGCTTATCTATTATCAAAGATACCGTTTACTTGTTAATTATGCTTTTATTATTTTTTTTATTAATCTAAATTATTGATGAGTAAATTAAGAATCAGGGCCGGCTCAAAGGGTTACAATGTGTGATCATCACACAGGCACCAAGGCGGCAAAATTAAGTTTTTAAATTAAATTGTTAAAATCAACAAAAATAAATTTTATGAACTCTTCCCATAATTTTCCAGAGGGCGACTATTGCCTATTTTCACCCAACATAAAAATGTCTAGCGCCGGCCCTGTTAAGAATAGTCTTACTAATAACTCTATGACATTTTTTAAATAAAAAATATTTGTCTAAATTGTATGACAATTTTGTGAAGATGGGTGACGGGGGTGGTCCTAAATGTGCCAAATTAGCATGATTTCATTTATGTTTGGGCAACTAGGAAATCTTAACTCTTTATAATCACTGCTTCTTTCTACAAACTATACATTTAAACTAAATTATTTGCCTAACTCTTCAAATAGTCTTTGAGTCATAGAGCCTACATTTCATCCTTATAATACTAACTTTAGGCTATATTGATTCAGTTTAATTCTACCCTTAACAAAAAAGGATGGCCATACTCAAGAACTGATGGGTTCCAAAAAGTCTTAAATAAACCACATATTTTGAAACCTATATCCTCTTTTGTTTTGATATATTTAAAAGATATACCACAGGAAGGTTCTTCTGTGGATCCTAAACTTGAAGAAAAGCAGGAATCAGTTACAGAAATAAAAGAAGAAAATTGTACAGAAGCTTCAGCATCTGCTCCGCTATGTACAGAAGCACAGATACAATCTATTTTAGCAGCAGCTGGCCAGGGATTAGGTGATGATGAGGATGAAGAATCCAGCAGTAAGAATATTACTTTTACAGATTTCACGTCTATTAAATTTTCAACCCATCTTTATTTTGAAGTAATTTTAATACATTTTCACACTGAAAAAAATTCTACAGTGTATCATATATTAACAAAATGAGATGCTTGTTGCTGTAACTCTCTTAATGCTAAAGATAGAGTTTCAGTGGGACACAGAATATTGAAATATTTTATTAGATCATGTAAAAAAAAATTATTTTCCATTAATTCAATTTTCATAAATATTTATAGAGGACATGGAAAAGCACTAAAGCCTGAATAAAAAAAATTGAGAATTTAGAGAATAATTACCTAAGGTTTTATTTTTGGGAAGTGTTTTTTCTAATTATATATTTTGTGAAAGCAAGAGATTGTTTTTGGTATCTAAAATGTTGATATAGTTTTATATCTTCTTTTTTTTTCTAGAACCCTCAGATTTAGAGAAAGTAGACTTTAATGTGATATTTAAAAAGGAAAAGTATGAAGTTTCATTTCCTCTTGACAACACAGTCACAAAATTGAAATCACATATAGAGAAACTCACAGGTTTGTTTGATAAAATAAACATATTACATATATTACATATAAACAGTTACAAATACTTTTTTTTTTTTTTAAAACTATGCTTGTCAAAGATTTGCAGATATCATCATATATATTTTAACCCTTGTTACCTAAAATTTTATGAATTTCTATTTCTCTTAAGGGATGGTATTTCATTAAAATCATGGAAGCTCATCTCTTTCCAACTTATTTTAAAATATACCGGTACTTACATTTCAAAGTGTAATCACTAATGAAACTACATTCATTTGCCATTAAAGTGACATAATGAAATGAATAGTGATTACTTAGTGTTTTTCTTTTTTTTTTCATCAGGTGTTCCTGCCACTTTACAGAAAATTATGTATAAAGGTGAGTTTGGTTACAGGATTAAAATTATCTGAATCTTTTATTTAAACTTTTTGACTGGAAAAAGATTTTTCTTTCCTTGTAAGTAATTTCTTGTGATTGAAGTACCTGTCAAGATCATGAAATCATTTTATTACTCAAGATTCAATCAATTTTCCCTCCTCAACTATAGCTGGCTGACCATGTCCTTTACACTTGGCTATCCATAGCCGAGGATGACCACTGATGTATTCAAACCATCTACTTTTGTTTCAAAAAGCAGGCAACATCACCATTTTGTCATGGGGGTGGCACATTTTATCCTTTTTGGTCTAAGTCTTTTTACTTCTCTCTCTCTCTCTAACATACATCCAGCTGTGCATTACTTTAATCTTCATCATAATTCACTGCACTATTTTAATATGTTCCAACAATAAATGTTAAACACATTTTTATTGAAGTCATCAGCATTTGGTAGCAAGTTCCCAAAGAGTCAAAGAGACAGTCTGAGATATAAAATTCATGTTCAATTTAGTGTTTTTGTTCCACAAGTGATTTATTAAATTGTTTTGCAGGCTTAGCAAGAGATGAAATGACATTACGAGAGCTGAAAGTTGTTAAAGGTGCCAAACTTATGGTGGTTGGCTCAACATTAACAGATGTTCTCTCTGTCAGTGCACCTACACCTAAAGATCTGCAGGCTGAAGAAAAAGCAGCAGCTAAAGTAGCAAAGGAACCCTTATCTGAGCAAAAGGTGAGATTAGCATTTTGAATTTGAGAAGGGGAGATTATTTTTAACACTGCATCCGCGTCCATCTGAATTTTGTAGAAAAATAATTATTAGTGTACTTTTACCGGTATCTTGTTTAGGAGATACCAGTAAACTCTTCTAATTGATACAAATTGTTCATTTTTTTTGTATGTCTAATAAAAGTTTTATTTAAGTTTGTCCACTTGTTTTAATGCTGTATCCAAAATGAAATTAAACTTCTTACGGACTTACAACCTTAAGATGTTGTTTTGTAATGTGGTTGCCATGTTCTTATGAGAATGTTTTATTAGTCCAGCTTGGGCTTATTCTTTAAATCTGGTGACTTGCCCATTTGGTGAAAATGCTGCACATGCCAGGTGTATGTATACTATCTTCATTTTAACATTTGTTGTGTTTAAACTATTTATTATAGTAAAAGTTCAGTTTCTGTTAGGCAAAGAAGAAAACATAAATTTTACTAACGGACAGTAATTTTCTTTTAAAGGATATTTTTGATGAAGGAAATGACATATCATTAGAGTCTTATACCAGTGCAGAGAATATTACTAAAGTCATAATCATGATGAGCAAAATGACATAAAATTAAAGATTGTATCCTGTGATTTATTTGTATTAGTTTTATAAAATTTTATTTTGTGACAGCCTATTATAGCGTCTAGATAATACTAAGAGCCTATGCTCCTTATATTACAATGAATAGCCTTTTATGTTTTTCTTTGATTAAATTCAGTAAAGTAATCATAGTGTAAACCAGCATTCCCCAAATGTTGGTCCAAATGACATTAGTCAAGAAACTGGGGGAAAAGTAGTTTTTTTTAGGCTTATTTAAACAAAACAACAACAACTTAAAAATCAACATTTGTCTATAGCATAAATATACCTCATGTTGTACACCATGTTGTATGCATCAGGAGGTGCCTGGAAGCTGAAGCCATGTGCCAGATAAAAATTTTAAGCAATGTAAAAACATATCAATTAAAGGTCACCTAAAAAACAAAGCAAAACCAATTTAATAAAAAATTTCTGGCATCATAAGCACATGCCTATACTGTCAACCCCAAGTAATGTTTCTTTTGAAAAAAATGGAGAGGCCAGATAACACACTTAACAGTTGGACAGGGTGACTGATTTTTTGTGATCAAAGGGAAAAGCACTAGCATGTCATACTTTTTGACTCCTTTGATATCCCAAAAATCTTGCAAGTTTGTTTCCCTTTTTTTTTTCATGCAACACCCCTGCACCTTAAAGGATACACACATCCCGGTTTATAGTCCACATTCAAATTGGCTGAATACGGATTTTACGAAATTTTACCTTTTTTTTCCCGACTTTTTAGTGTGTTTTAACTCATTTTTGATGGAAAGTCTTTTAAAATTTAAAAAAAAATGCTCCTTTTATCATACTGTCTCATTTGCATCCTTCTATTCTTCCCAACTTGCCTTTTATTCTTAAAGTATGTGCACAATTGTCAATGGTTGCAATAGTTTCTGTGTGGAATTTTTGGTTTAGGCACTGTCAGTGTGTGCAGTTGTATCTAGTGAACATTTATAATGTGTTTGGGTTTATGTCTGGTCACCATGAATTGAAGGTGCTTCATTGCATGCATTTATCTGATTGTTTTAAATCTGATCTGAAAATTCAGACTTTTTAGCTGTTTTTATCTTCTTCAGCAACACAAAAAGGTATTAGATAAATATGGCAAGCCTGATGATGTTCCAGTTGGATTAAAAAACCATTCAGAACGGCTGCCATCAGTGCCTTTATCTGGCATGTACAACAAAGCAGGAGGGAAAGTAAGACTAACTTTCAAGATGGAAGCAGACCAGCTGTGGTTAGGAACTAAAGGTTATTCATTGTTTATGGCAGTTGTTTTATTAACAACTTCTCAGTATATTTATTGCAAAAGTTATTATGAATTCCTGATTATTTTAATCAAGAAATATATTTTTATTTAAACAACTTTTTAAAATTTGTATGTCACCTAGCTTATTTTTGAAAACTGCGGATTTAAAGAAAACTTCATGCCATTTGAATTTAACTTTTGAAAATTTTAACCATATTAAATATGTATTCAGAAAGGTTATTATTAGATTAGATAGTTACATTAATTTATCTAATCTAATAATAACCTTACAAACAGTTACATTAATTTGTTTGCTGCTTGGAATATAAAATTTGAACTTAGTTTCACATTTTTGCTCAGATTCCTGATAGATAGAGTTAAATTTTTTATTATTTGTATAATCTGCCAAAATTTTTTACTTCATTTTATTTTGCTTTTATTTTATGCTTAAAAACTTATTTGTTATTGTATAGAAAGAACAGATAAAATTCCCATGCAGTCAATAAAAGCAGTTGTGTCCGAACCTATTAAAGACCATGAAGAATACCATATAATGGTGAGTATTATCATTATTTAGTTTAGATATATTGCAATGAATGTTTAAGCTTTTAATAATACAGTTTATGTAACTTTTTTTAAAGATAGTTTGTTATAATTTATTGTCGTATATTATTATTATTATTATATTTGTTTAACAAAGAAAAACCTCATTGAAACAGGGAAATAGAATATTAATATGTATCCATATATAAAGGGTGGTTTTAATTCATAAGCTTTTTGGTTGAACGACATGAAGTTAAAAGGTAGATAGGAAAAAAAATTTCTGATATTATGTTTGAAAATATTTTCATCAAAATAAGGTTATGTTAAACAAATAATAATACAGTATGTACCAAAAGGAACAGTGCTAAAACTCCTGCATTTTGAAGGCACCCGTTTGTCAATGGTGCATAATTTTAGTCTCCATGTGTTCCAAGAAGTGATAAGGGTGATATGGGTCTCTCAACTGAGGAAAAATTAATCATAGTTGAGTAGGATTCAGACCAAACAGATCAATGACTGATCAGATTTTCACCCTCAAATGTCTTTTAGAGAAATGTTAAAACTATAACATCCCAGTACATCAAATCTATGTGACCTATGATAAAATGGCATGTGACAGCATCAAAACGAAATATCTATAGGAGATTCTGCAGGAGTATGGCATACCCAACAAACTGACAAGACTGATACACATGACATCAAACACTCAAAAAGCAAAATCAAGGTGAACATTCAAGGGAATTTCAGATTTAGACCAGTGGTTCTCAACCTGTCTCATGCCGCGACCCTTTAATATGGTTCCTCATGTTGTGGCGACCCCCAACCAAATTATTTTTTTTATTGTTTCTTTATAAAATATGTGTTTTCCTAAGGTCTTAGGCGACTCCTGTGTAAACTGTGTAAGGGTCATACGACCCCCAAAAGGGTCGGGACCCACAGGTTGAGAACCGCTGGATTAGACCAAGCCTAAGACAAGGAGACTCACTGTCACCTATTAAACACATTCGAAATAAATGTTCTCTTGGAAAATATATGGACCAACAAAGGATGAATGTAGATGGAGAATACGAACCAATCAGGAATTGTTTACGCTGTATCAGGATCCACGCTGGTAGCAGTAATAAATAAGGGCAGGCTACATTGGGCGTGGCACTTAGAAAGAGGAGTGAAGAGGGTGCACCACAAAAACTCCAGAGGAAAATGGCTCAAGGGCAGACCCAGGCTTAGATGTATAGACCATGTGTAATAAGATATACAGCAGGTGGGAATCCAAGCATGGAAAAGAAAATCATCAGTTAGGTCTGAGGGGAAGGAAGCAGTGAGGCACGTCAAAGCCTTAGATTGGCTGTAGCGCCACAGAAATTAATAGAATTTTTGCTCATACGTAATCAGAAAGCATGATCGTGTTCAAAAAATAGATTGAGAGATTTAATAAGATGGCATAATATGTGAGGGAGAGGGACTGCATTGAACTTTTCAAGCTGTGAAGTAAATAAATAGTGGAACAATAAAATTTAGGCAATAAAAGAAAATGAGAGGACAATGAAAATGACATCTGGCATGCTGTGTAATTTTTTTCTTACCTGTATCTTTTGGGCTAAAATGTTATTTACATTTCTCTTCCCTGTCTATTTGGGGCTACTAAATACTAAAAATTATTTAGATTTTTTCTTACCTGTATCTTCATGGCTACCAACTTATTTAGAGTTTATTTTACCTGTCTCTTTAGGGCATTCAGCTTGGTCCAACAGAGGCCTCACGGTACTGGGTGTACTGGGTCCCAGCTCAGTATGTGGAGGCTATCAAAGAAGCTATACTTGGAAAGTGGCAGTTCTTCTGATGTATGCATAAAACATTTTGTCTGAAGCTAAATCTTATATTTATGTGAGTGTTTGAAACTCAGTGAGCTGACTGCCAGGATTTGATCATGGGGTGAATGTTGTGTCTCTCAGACATTCTGTCCCTTTTTAAACATTATATTTTTGCAATGCTGTTTCCATATGATAAAAATGTGAATGAAAATATTGGTGTGTCTTTTCCCCCCCTCATATTAAAGAATTGCGGGGTACCGCTCTATGTGTATGTGTAGCTGAATTTGAATTTTGATCTCAGCAACTGTCGACCACTAGTGTTGTCTTTTACAGATGGTCTCACATGCCATGATTGATAGTAAATGGTGCCCACAGTTATTCAGTTTGATAGATATTGAGTCCCTTCTATTTCAATATAATTAAAAGGTGCAGTTATTGTTAGTGTTTGTAAAGAAGAACTGTGAGCACATTTCTATTGGTGTTTTTCTCTTAAAAGTCAAAAAAAAAAAAAATATATATATATATATATATTTAAAAAAGGGGAAATCACAAATCAAACTAAGAACGAACAACTTTCTTTTGAACTAAAGAATATACTTAATATTATGGTCTCAAAAAAATGTACATGAGCTGTGACCATTTTGTGGATAGCGTCAGTTGTCAAAATGCTGTACATACAACTCACCGTTGAGCATAATGTTGTTGACTTTGCAGCCAGGTTTAATATGATGGATGTCTCTGGACCTAATGATCTCAACGTTGTCATTGGTCTTCTTATCCCTCATGCTTTTCTTTTCATTTGGTAATAATGAGTGAATTTATTAGATGAGTCTCAATTGTATGAATAGGTCAAACTGGTTTTATTATTTATTGAGTTTTAAAAAAAAATAGTGTCATGTTATTTTACTTTCAAGACCATGTGAATTTTTAAGTTTATTTTATTTATACATATACATAATATATATATATATATATTTATATATAATGGTTTGAATAAAAATAAGTATTATTTTTTCTTTATTTTGTTTTTGAGACTTTGAGAACTAAAACCTAATAGACAATTTGGTTTGACAATGTAAATTGACCAAACATTTGATTGGCTTTCCAGTACCTGTACTGTAAATAACAGCTTACGGGATAAACCATATCATTTGGGGGTCATTAGTTTTGATTTCTATATAAGATCAAGATTAATCATACTTTCTTTATTCAAACAGTTTTATTAGTTTCTTTATTCCTTGTAAAGGCGCCATCATTTAGCAGGCCATTGTTTTTCTTTTTACTCATATTTCAGAAACCGCTGCAGAAATCAATAAAATAATGCCATTTCAGCCCCAAGCTGTACCTGTTTGTCTTGTCTAAATGAACCATGCAGTGTGCATATAAATGTTTTCTGAAATGTGTTTATGGATGTTTATGAGAGGCGTTTAGGAATCTTTTCTTAAACGAGTTTTCAAAAAATATTTTCTGAAATGTGTAAATGAAAGTTCCAGGTTTTATTCAACTGGCCGTGTATTAATAATGCAACTTTAAATCTTATGATGTGTGCAATTCCGTCTTTAAAGGTGATTAAAAGCATATTATATTCTCGGTACCAATTGGTAAACGTTTGGATTCTTTGTTGTTTTGTGTGCTTGTGTGTAGAAATGAGATAAAGTAATTTAAATTGATTATAATTATTTGGTGTTGTATTGTGTTCTAAGACCGCCCCTTTTGGTATAAATTTACTCAGAAATCAAATGAAAACTAAAATTATAATAAATTAAATAGCAATATAATCCGGATATGACTGGATGACTTTAGTGGGTTTTGTGTGCCTCCCTCCCCCCCATATCAAGCTCTACTAATGTCCGATTGTCATCAAACACCTGCTCACCGTTTGAGGACCTAAATCATTGATTTACAATTATTCTACTCTTATTAGTAGAGAAAAGAGCAAACTTTCTGTGTTATTTCAATATTTTTTTACATTAGGGACAGATGGAATTTGTGGTAATTATGGCAGTTTTACACTTCTTCTTGTTTTTCAGAAAGAGATGTCAATTTTGTCTATGTATTTATTTATATATTGGGTCCATGCAGTCGTAGTGGAATGCCTACTGTCCATTTGCATCTAGCCTTCTCTAGGAATGATGGTGTAGCTGAATGTTTAGCTACAAACATTACCGGCACTAAGCAATTCAAATAAAAAGGGTAATTTTGTGCATATCAGATGTTCAAAATCACCAACGAAACTTGTGCTGTTCACAAGGCCAATTGGGTTCATATGTTATGATTCTGAAAGATAAGCTAAAGTACAATTTAAAAATTTCTCCGCAAAGCAAAGGATGGAGTGTAGGCCTATAGCATTAATAGATCGGTTTCAGTGAGACTCCACTAAATCAGAAGTAAGCCTATTAATATTTAATTTTATATACCGGTATCTAATATACATGCATATCCTCTACTACTACTACTACTACGGTATATAAAGCTTAGTGTGACTATTTATGTAAATGGGATGATCAATCGCAAGGATAAGGCTTATCTATATATTATGGTTCCTGGAAAGTTTTGGTCATCATCTACTTATCCCGAAACATGTAATTCATTAATTATTAAAAAATAGATGGACAAGAGTAAAAAAAAAAATGAAGGTTCAAGGAGAGTATTCAAGGGAATTTCAGATCAGACGAGGCCTAAGACAACCGAGGAACAAAAACAGGATACTTTCTGAGGGAAACCCAAGACCCACAACCAATGGACACTCTACGACATCAACCCGTTCAGTATCTTGCATAAGCTGATGACTAGAACTGCTAGGGAAAGTATTAAAGACATATCATCAAAATCCTCTATTGAAAATTAGAAGACACATTACTACAAGCAGGGCTGGAAGTTAACCAAAAAAAAACAACAACAAAAAATACATGACTATCATAAGAGAGGATAGACAGATGAAGTCATTAAAATTATAAACCACAATTTTGAAAAAGTAAATCAATTCAAATACCTAGGACCTTTATGAATAAAAGAAACGAATAACTAACCGAAATAAAAGAAAGAATAGCAGCCGGAAACAGAGCATATTGAAGTAGTCAGAAAATACTCAAAGGTAAAAACATTACATGAGGGAAAAAAAGAAAACAATTTATAGAACTGTAATCAGACCAGTTGTAACATGTGCAAGTGAAACTTGGACCCTAACGAAAACGGCAGAAAACGTATTAAAGACATGGGGGAGAAAAGTTCTCCGGAAAATATATGGACCCACAAAGGTTATAGCAGAAATATCAATAGCAGAATATGATGTGGAAAAAATATCTACAACACTGGGAATCCAAGCATGGAAAAGAAAAGCAGTAGCTAGGCCTGAGTGGAAGTAAGTAGTGAGGCAGGCCAAAGCCCTACATGTGCTGTAGCGCATCCACAGGGATGGATGGATGTCACCCTTGAGGGTACACTTTTGTCCTAGCTTAATATCGCCTATTGAATCTTTATAGTCCCCAGAAAATTTTTGATAAATTAAAAATACAAGAATGCATTTCATCACATATCTGAAATTAGTTTTGGAACATTCTACTGTCATTCTACACTTAATTGGAGAGCAACGGAAGAGATCCTATTTTAAAAATGCAGGTGTCACATTACCTTAGAACCATCGTGTGCGCCCAGCAACCCCTACGATGCAATGTGCCTCGGATATTTTAGGGGTTTAAAGATGTGATGAGGATATTTTCTTAATTATCAGCTTTCAGTGCAGGGTGGAAAGACCTGCTTGTGTTAAGCAAACACAAATATTTGTATGTCACTAAATATAGTAGTATGGCATTTATTTTTTATTTAAATTATTTGGGTGGAGGGGAGATGGCTACTTAATTAATACATTAATTGTTAACACACACACACATACAAAAAGCAATTAAAAAGGGTTCCATCACTAAAAAGTACTGCAAACATTATTTTACATGCTAAGCGCAAATGGAAAAAACACAACTTTTTTATAATAACTAGATTTAATTTGTCCAAATTTGACCAGTCAAAAAAAAAAAAAAACAAACAAAAAACCTGTTAATTGTAAAGTTTTGAAAACTGGTCATTTTAAAAAATCGTAAAATTTCTTTTGGAACGCACTATACTATATTATAGTAAAACAAAATAATGCGTTCAAAAAGAAATTGGACGCAAAATTAGATCGCGTGAACTGTAAAAAAAAAAAAAAAGAATTAGATGAAACTTCCGTTCGATCAAATAAATTTTAAAGTTTTGAAAACTGGTAATTTTAAAAAATCGTAAAATTTCTTTTGGAACGCAATATACTATATTATAGTAAAAAAAAATAATGCGTTAAAAAAGAAATTGGACGCAAAATTAGATCGCGTGAACTGTAAAAAAAAAAAAAAAGAATTAGATGAAACTTCCGTTCGATCAAATTTCCGTCGATCAATTTTCCTTCGACGAAATTTCTTTTTTTATTTAATTTCTGGATACTGCCTTAAATATACAAATCATTAAATATATCGAGCGTAGCGATATTTCATAGATTCCACTAATTGTAATCCAGGGGTCTCAAACTCAAATCATAGGGAGGCCACCGGGTGTAGAGTCTTAGTGAGACTGGGCCGCATCAAGTATTCCACAAAAATGCGATTACAAATTCAATAAAGTTAACTGTTACAATCTGCTCAATCTTTATTAATAACAAATAAAAACATTAAGAGTTCTCAAGTGCTAGGCTTCACTTTCTTCCTCCTACCCCTTGTTGCCAGAGACCTGGCATCGCTTCTTACACAGCTGAGCAACTTTGGCTTAAGTCAGGAAGCAATTGAGACCCTCAGTATACCTTGAAGATGCTCATCAGTAAGTTTGGACCTGAACATTGACTTGTTAAAGTTCATAGTGGAAAAGAGCTTTTCACACAGATATGTACTCCCAAAAAAAAGGCACATGATCCGCTTGAACAACCTGGAAATCTCAAGGAAGTTTGAAGGCAATGCGCTCATGAATCGTCCATGCTTGTCTTTTATTTATATAATTGACCTCCCTGAACTTAGAATTCCACTGAAGATTTATCACCTTCCTTTGAAGCGCAGGGTTGGGGGCATCTTCCACATTGAAGGAGAAAGGGTCAGCTAAAATGTGAAAAGCGACTCTGTGTGTTTTGAAGTCTGAAAAATGTGATCAAATTCTTCCCGTAGCTTTGCAATGACGCCAGTATACCTACACTACTGAATGGTGTGCTCGAGTCCATGAGTACTTTGTAATGTTGGGAAATGGCAAAGGTTTCTCTGAGAACCAAAACACAAGTTTTGTGCAGAATGCCATGGCATTGTCATATAGGCAACACTGACAGGTTGCCCCTGGTCTTTTAACTTTTTGTTGAGTGCATTCAGCTCCTGTGTAATGTCAACAAGAAAAGCCAAGTCCATGAGCCATTTGGGATCAATTAGTACAGGAACAACCACCACATCCTTCTCCATGCTAAAACGTGTTCAAACAATAGTCAGGAGCTGGCCATTTTAAAATGAATTATTGATGTGAAAGAAGATGCTATTGCAGGGAGAAGGAATTTTGATTTTTCATCGTAAAAAAAAAAGCGTTTTTGACTAAACCCTATTTTGAACGTGATCAAGCTGACAGTCTCGGAATTCCCTCACTCGTAAACACTAGCGGCAATGTTAATCGGGCTTCTTTGATACCGAGTCAGATTGCTACGATCTACACAATTACGGTTGTGCATAACCCACTAACTTACTTTTTAAACTTTTCTCAAAACCGCACTTGGGCCATGTTTATCTCATAAAATGCTATAACGTAAAAACTTTTAATAAAATTAGAATTAGACTAGTCTGTGAGATCGACTGCAACTGTCGCGGAGGGTCACATTATAGAGTCGAAAATGGAAAAGCACCTGGCCGCATTAAAACTAAACTTTGTAGCGGG